CAATGAGGTATCACCTCACTCTGGTCAGAATGGCCATCATCAAAAAGTCTGCAAACAATAAGTGCTGGAGAGGGTGTGGAGAAAAGGGAACCGTCCTCCACCTTGGTGGGAATATAAATTGGTACAACCACTATGGAGAACAGTATGGAGGTTCCTTAACAAACTAAAATAGAGCTACCATACAGTCTAGCAATCCCACTCCTGGGCATATATCTGGAGAAAACCATAATTTGGAAAGATACATGCAACCTGATGTTCATGCAACACTATTTATGATGTTCATGCCAAGACATGGAAGCAACCTAAATGTCCATCAACAGAGGAATGGATAAAGAAGATGTGGTGTATATATATATATATATATCTATATATAGATATATATAGATATATATACACAATGGACTATTACTCAGCCATAAAAAAGAATGAAATAATGCCATTTGCAGCAACATGGATGGACCTGGAGATTATTCAACTAAGTGAAGTAAGTCAGACAAAGACAAATATCATATGCTATCATTTATATGTGGAATCTAAAAAAATGATACAAATGAACTTATTTACAAAACAGAAACAGATTCACAGTTTTCAAAAACAAACTTATTGTTACCAAAGGGGAAAGGTGACAGGAGGGATAAATTAGGAGTTTGGGATTAACATAAACACACTACTATATTTAAAATAGATAATCAACAAGGACCTCCTGTATAGCACAGGTACCTCTACTCAATATTCTGTAATAACCTATTTGGGAAAAGAATCTGAAAAAGAATGGATGTATGTATATGTACAACTGAATCACTTCGCTGTACACCTGAAACTAACACAACATTGTAAATCAACTATACTCCAATATAAAATAAAAATTTTTAAAAAGGGATGGTCCCAAATGAGCCCCACCTCCTGGTATTCACACCCATCTGTAGTCCCTCACACACTGCACTGCTCTTTTTGACCAACAGCATATGGCAGAAGTGATGGCATGTCGCTTCCAAAATTAGGTTATAAAAGACTGTAGCCTCTGTCTCAGGTAACCTCTCACTTTTGATCTCTCACTCTGGAGGAAGCAAGCTGCCATGCTGTATGCAGCCTTGTTGAGAGGTCCACATGGCAAAGAACTAAAGCCTCTGGCCAACAGCCAGCAAGAAACTGATGCCTCTTGCCAGCAATCATGTTGAGGAGCCTGGAAACTGATTCTCCAGTTCAGTCGAGGCGAGAAATAACTTTAGTGCCAGATGACATCTTGACTACAACTCTATGAAAATTCTTAAGCAAAACCACCCAACTAAGGTGCTCTCAGAGTCCAGACCCTCAGAAACTGGGTGAGATAATGACTGTTGTTTTAAAAGCTGATAAGTTTTGAGGTAATTTATTATGTAGCAATAGATAACTAATGCGTGTAAAAACTAAGGTACATATAAAAACTAGGCAAATAAAAAACAAAGAAGTTTTAAACTTCAGGAAAAAGTTACTTGAGAAAGGAAATATAATCAGTTTTGCACTTGGCACACCAGCAAAAATGATTTAGACACTTATAATAAAATAAACTAACACTGAATATTGATTCAGCCCAACATGATAATAGCAATGATATTACTAGAAGTGGGAGTTTGACAGAGATGGGGAAGTAAATACTTTTCTACTATTATCAGAAATTCAACAGATAGTGTATAATATTCAAAGTCTGGAAACAGCCCATAAGCACATTATTCAGAAATACAGAAGTAAATTACAGAAGAAACGTAAAAGATATGAAAATTGTGGCTTTGAGGAGAGATTCTGAATGATGTGGAGAGATTTGTTATTTTACTTTATGTACCTTTGGTAATCTTTTTTTTTTTAAGGTAGGTGTATTTTATTTTCATCTTATACATGAGGAAACAGACACAGAGAGATTAAGCAACTTGATCAACATACACAAAGATGTTCATCATAGCATAAATTATAATTGTTGAATAAACACAGATGAGGGAGTCCAAATATCCAAAAGTAGGCAAACTGTGTTAAATCAATTATGGTACATCATTTGATGGAGGTACTTTAATAATTGTCTATATAAGATTAAGAAGTTTCTTTTCTATTCCTAGTTTGCTTAGTTGCTAAGTTAGTTAGTTACTAAGTTACTAAGTTAGTTAGTAAGCTAAGTTTGCTAAGTTAGTTGCCCCAGGTGTTGAATTTTATTGAATGCTTTTCTAACCTACTGAGATGACCAAATGATTTTTTTTGATTCTGACAAATTAATGCAGTATTAAAATATCAAGAAGAAAATCATGTCTTTTTTTCCAGATTCTTTTCCATTATAGGTTATTATAAGATATTGAGTATAGTTCCCTGTGCTATACAACAGGTCCTTGGTTATCTATTTTATATGTAGTAGCACATGTATGTTAATCCTAAACTCCTAATTTATCCCCCCTCCTTCCGCTATCCACTTTAGTAACCATAAGTTTTTCTTTTCTTTTTATTTATTTTTTTTTGCGGTACGCGGGCCTCTCACCGTTGTGGCCTCTCCCGTTGCGGAGCACGGGCTCTGGACGCGCAGGCTCAGCGGCCATGGCTCACGGGCCCAGCCGCTCCGCGGCATGTGGGATCTTCCCAGACCGGGTCACGAACCCATGTCCCCTGCATCGGCAGGCGGACTCTCAACCACTGCGCCACCAGGGAAGCCCTGTTTTCGTTTTTCTTTAAAGATTTTTTTGATGTGGACCATTTTTAAAGTCTTTATTGAATTTGTTACAATATTGCTTCTGTTTTATGTTTTGGTTTTTTGGCCGCTAGGCATGTGGGATCTTAGCTCCGGATTAGGGAACGAACCGGCACCCCCTGCCCTGGAAGGAGAAGTCTTAAACACTGGACAGCCAGGGAAGTCTGCACAAGTTTGTTTTCTATGTCTGTGAGTCTATTTCTGTTTTGTAAATAAGTTCATTTATCTTTTGATAGTCTTTAAGTTCTTAAACCACATACATGAATTACTTTAATAAAAGTAATTTAAGATAACAATAAAAACAGACTGTAACAAAAGATCCAGTCTAATAAAATTAAGGACAAAACAACATCATAAATGAAAAAGGCTTGCAGACCCCAAGCTCCAACTTAGTGAGCAGGGTTATGTGATTACTAATATTTTTCTGTACAGTAACAGGAACACGGCATCTGGCAACAGAGAAGCTGGCAGACCTGCTCTAGTTGACAGTAGGTAAGCAAAACCTGAAAAATTCTGTTTTATCCTGAGAATTTCACATTAGAATAATTCCAGTTGAGTTACTAGGATTATGACAGATAGATAATCCATGACGTGTAGAGTCCATGACACGGACAGTGTCTAAACCTTCTACAGTTGTTAAGGAAAACCTCAAAAATTCTGTTCCATCCTGAGAAATACACATTAGAATCACCGCAGATAAGACAATCCATGACTGACTGATATAGAGTCCCTGACACAGAGGCATGGCTGAAAGAAACGTTAAAGTCGAAACAGAAAGAAACGTTAAAGTCGAAACAGAAAGACTCAGGGAGACAAGGTGGTTGCCAGAACTATTAGAAGGGTAATTTTTAAATATATGAAGGTTTAACAAGTAGAAGAGTAAAATTAGACTTACTCTCATACTTTTACAGGTCAGAATTCAAACCAAGGGGTGGATGTTACAATGAAACAGACTGCAATTTTCCAGCAACTAGGCTTTGTAACTAGGATTTTCTAGAAACAAAAACGGAAACAGCCTGCCTTGTAAAAGAGAACACCCCCATTGTTGGAAATATTCAAACCTAGACCATACAACCACTGTTTACAGTGACTAGAACCCTGGGGGAATCTAATTTCTCATAAAAAAAAAAAAGCACCAGTGCACAATCACACACAATTCTGCATACATTTCTAGGGAGTTCACAGACCCCAAGAAGTACCTCCATGGATCCCAGAGTAAGAATCCCTATTGCAGAAGAGTAGACTAGGGCTTCCCTGGTGGCACAGTGGTTAAGAATCCCCCTGCCAATGCAGGGGACATGGGTTTGAGCCCCGGTCCGGGAAGATCCCACATGCCGCGGAGCAGTTAAGCCCGTGCGCCACAACTACTGAGCCTGTGCTCTAGAGCCCCATGATCCACAACAAGAGAAGCCACTGCAGTGGGAAGCCCATGCACTACAACGAGAAGCCCGTGTACCACAACGAAGAGTAGTCCCCACTCACCGCAACTAAAGAAAGCTCGCACACAGCAACAAAGACCCAACGCAGCCAAAAATAAAATAAATAAATTTATTTTAAAAAAAACAGTATATCGCCTTAAAAAAAAAAAAAAGAAGAGTAGGGCTTCCCTGGTGGCGCAGTGGTTGAGAGTCTGCCTGCCGATGCAGGGGACACGGGTTCATGCCCCAGTCCGGGAAGATCCCACATGCCGCGGAGCGGCTGGGCCCGTGAGCCATGGCCGCTGAGCCTGCGCATCCGGAGCCTGTGCTCCGCAACGGGAGAGGCCACAACGGTAAGAGGTCCGTGTACCACCAAAAAAAAAAAAAAAAAAAGAGAAGGAGAAGATATCTTCAAGGTTCCTTCTATTTCTGTGACACTAGTTTAAGACAGTGAAAGTTAAACATATTATACTCTATATGGTTCATGTTTTTATTATCTATATGCTTGTTTCAGCTGTACAAGTTACCTATAAATATGACCATCAGAATAGTATCAATATTTATGGTGACTGTGCAAACTGGGAAAAGATAACTCCTCTGGGCTGTCTAGTCAGAAACACATGCCCCTTCCTCTGGGCTGCTGTGGCCCAGGTCAGGACACACCGCTTGACAAGAAGAGAAAGGCTGGGTGTTAGTCCCTACCCACCTGTGAGGAGGGCCCAACCAGATCCAATGTAACCAGCAGGCCGGAGATTGGTCATCTGGTTAAAGGGTTGAAGTACCTAAATTTTTATCAAAGTATTACAATAAATTTTACCACTGGTTGTTAAATCATTACAATACTTGGGAAAAAAAAAAAGTAGGAAAAAATGCATTACCCCGTTTTTACTGCCAATGAAGAAAACAGACTTTTCTCCAGTTTCAACTCCATTGCCTTCACTTCCATTACTTCCCCGTTTTTCCACTTCAGCTGTTGCGATTTCCCAGAGAGTTTCACTATATGAGGCAGAAAACCAAAATTCAGAGAAACAAAAAAGAATCCTTTCAAAAATTTCTTTCCAGCCCAAAGAAAATTTATTTCAGTCAGATTTATAAAACAAATCAACATCATTTGGGGGGGACAATTTACTGGTAAAACTTCGGAGGATTAGTCATTCTCTTTGTACTAGATTGAAGCAGAAAATGATAAGCAGAGTCTTTATTGCCAGGATTTGAGGTTGTCTGATTTGGGGGCTTCCGGGCAAGGCTGAAAGCTGTGTGTGTTAGCGTCTCAGACACACATGAATGTACAATGACTTTTAGAAACGCACAACTTGAAAACCACCAACATCTAGGAAAAGAGGGAATGTGTGAAGCCAGTGTACCACATAATCTTTGCCCCCTGGAAGTTTTTGGCTTTGTTTTTTAAATTATATATTTTTTGGCTCAAGATTCCTTTTTTAAAATATAAAAAAGGGGGAAAATCACCTAAAATCACTTTTGAAAATCATCTTTTCATTTACCTCTCTACACACTCATATAATTTTATACAAATAAGATTATATCGTTTTTTTTTAAGTAAAGCCTAAATGAATTATGGAGTATTGAACTAAAAATACATGAGAAAGATTTGATGTGTTACAAGCTCAAATCTACTACTTTCTACATAGAGTATGCCAACTTGAGCAAATTACCTAACCTCTCTGGATCCTTCATTGCTTTATTAAGTCAACAAGTATTTCTTGAGCGCCTAATATATGAAAGCTGCTGTGCTAGTCCCCAGGCTTACCTGTTTCTTCACCTCTAAAATGCTGATAAAAAAGAATACCAACATCATAGGATTGCCATGACTGTTCAAATGTGATAATTCATTTAGGTTAGGGCCTGGCCTATACATAATCACCTAAAATCAGTGACTGTTTATAATCATTATTATTCAAGAACCAGGAATGAAAAAAAGGGGTTAGAAAAGAGCAAAACAGGTGTCCCTAAATGTCTGCACTAAAATTCACACATTTATTTCACAGGTGAGCCCCTAAGAACTCAGTCCGGGCCTGTTTGTTCTTCAATTACACACTATTTCTTCATTATTGTGATTATCTTCTTTCCAAGTTCCCAGCAGAAAAGAGAGAAGGAGGTGTTGTAACCAATTAAACCGTGATGGGAAGCTTAAGGTTCATAAACTCAACAGAGGTCACACCGCCCATCCACCATGTGAGAAAAACAGACTTTCCTGCTCTGTGATGGACTCCAGGGCTCATCTCTCCCGATGTCCTTATAAGTCGTTTAGAGAAGGTTTAGGTAGGACCTTGAGAACAAGCAACTGAAATAGACATCATAGAACTGAAGAGCTAAAATGTATTTGATAGGTGATTAAAATCCCACCCCCACCCCTGCTGCCCGTTTATATATGACCTTACATTCTTCACAGTGCCTTCACAAGTTAGGCTCATTTATTGTTGTCGTGAACTCCTGCACCCGGAGCCGAGGTCCCTGAGGAAGTGGCTTGTGGTCTGGTTCACTGCCTGAAACTGTTCCTAGAACTTTCCCTAACCCTCGAGAAACTCTTAATGAAAAAGTGAATAATTGGAGTTGAATGATCTTTCAAAATCTCTTAACTTTTCCACCTGGGGAACTTTTCTACTTGCTTTCGGCAGAATCCACACTCTCAAGGATAGTGCCTACGGATCCTTGACCAACAAGACAGGAATTGCAAAGAGGACGAACTCACAATTTTCTTCCACCAACGGGTCCCGGGAGGATCTCCTCTCCCCAAATATACCCGCAGCGGCCTCTCCCTCCACCCCTCCCCCATCTCCACCCCTTCCTGGCTGGGCTGCGAAAGAAGGGAGGCTCTCGAGGGGAGCATAAGCCAGGCGCAAGCAGGGTTGCAGGGATACCTGGGCATCGTGGCTCGGCCGCCCCACTGTCGTGGTCTCCGCGTAGGGTCCAGCCTAGAATCAGCGGGGCCGCGAGCTCTGCGCGAGGCCGGCTTAGTGCCGGCTCGTGGGTTGCTATGGTAGCGACGTCACCAGTAAAGGTTGCGTATAGAAGAGGGGCATCATGGGAAATGTAGTTTTCGGCGTTCTTTTCGAGCCTCTCATCTTCATCCGTTAGGGTGGGAGAGAGAGGCGACAAGGGGTAATAAATCTGGGACCTAAAAACTCTGGGCTGGAAGTGTTCTTTTATTTTAAAAGTATTCCACTGAGTACCGACTATTTATATGCCAGGGGTCTCTCTCTCTTCAATTACTTTTCTCTCCCCAATAGCAGTGAATTGAGAATGGAGAACGAAAATCTCCTGAGCTGTTTTCTAGTGATTTACTAGAGGCAAAGAATATTTACGATTTTAGTATTTTCCAACTCTCTGCTTGTTTGGTTGTTTCAGGTTTTATGCAATAGCACATCATTTATTAATAAGTTAATAAAGCAAATGCATCTCCATAATACTTCATTTACTTTATCTCCAAATCAATAAAAAACATTATTACTATATGACATATACAACTAATTATAATAACCCAAAGGAAGCCAGAGATATAAGCTATTGCAGAGAGGTACAAACAATTTATATTAGAACAAGTGACTAATTATGCCTCAAGGAGTTGGTGAAACATTCATGGCAGTGACAGTATTTGATCTGTTTTGATTGACTGAAGGAGAAACTGTTCCTCTACTGTTCTGCCATTTGGCTTAGTCTCTATGTTGTAATGTTCAAGAATGTGGGCTTTGGAATAAGACAAACTTAGATCGAAGTCGGGACTCAGTCAAACTAGCTAAGTTGCCACATTGCCACAATGGAAAATAAGTCAATTTCTCTGAGCCTTAGTGTCCGATCCTGTAAAGCAGGGGAAAATTATGAGTTTTAAATGAGATAAATACATGTAAAACATAACTTATGTGTGTCTGAAACATTATAAGTGCTTAATACTTGTTATTATGGTGACGTAAGCTGCTGATCAGCAACTTTGAAGAAAGAAACACAAGGAAATGAAGCAGATGGTTCATAGGAAATAAAAGGCATTCACTTCAGATAAAATCTTTCGGGACAAAATTCTCCCAACACGTAGGTGCATTTTGGAGACATAGGAGACTACAGTTGCACATAGGAAGGGAAGTAATGGACTTCAATGGAGAAAGGATGGTAGCAAGTGAGGCTGATACATCCATCATTGAATCAGCATTGCCTATAAACTCACAAACTGATGTGGGACAAATTGTAATGAATTGCAATGATTTGGGTTCTGGAACTTTAGAATCCCTTTGCATGTTAGTTGGGAAGCCATATTGATATGGACAATAATGGCAGCTAACATTTTGCCAGGTGTTTTCTGTGGACTAGGCACAGTACTAGCATTTTAAAGTATAATGATTTGGGTAACTGGGATATGTGGTTGAAGGAGCCTGGTAACCAGGAAGGTGAAGGTTATCTGCCTGGGCCCTAATCACCAGCACTAATTCAGGAGTGATTCAGTTGATTCACCTTGATCTGATTAAGCAGGTGAGTTCTCTTTTCTACCCTTATGCCTCCTGAGGCTTCAAACTTGGACGAAGAAAGTGACTTTCCTGGGTAGATGAAAATTGTTCTCAAGGTAAAATATACAAAGATTTGAGCTCGTCTTCTGAATCAGCCCAAGAAGACTCACAGATTTCAATGGTGGTGATGGAGGAGGAGACAGTTTTATGCTGCTTCCTGGATGAAACGAACAACAGTGCAAAAGGATAAAGGTGTGTGCAGAGTATATTTGGGGATCTGTGAATAGTTTGGGGTGGAAGCATATAAAGTGCCTGGTGGGGCTAAGGTGGGAGAGCAAACTGGACAGGTAGATTGAGCTACAGTGAAGGATCTTGCAGTCTGGATTTAACTGTGTTGGCGATGAGAAACCAAATAAGATTTCAAATAGGGGTGTGCCATGACTAGACCTAAGTTTCAATGAGATAATTTTCTGCAGCTATGTGAGGGATGCTTTGGAGTCTAGAAGTCCATATGGAGGCTATTAACAATAGCCCAGAAAGTGAGAGTTTTTATATTTTTTCCTTGTTTTCAAAGTTACATGAGCTTATTGTAGAAAAAAATAGTATACAGAAAAAACTGAGAGGGTATAATAAGCAAATACCAGGAGTAACAACTATTAAACATTTTGATGTATTTTATTCCAATCTTTTTTCTCACAGAATTGAGATTTTACTGTAAAGTTTGTTAACATTCTGATTTTAACATGTATTTTCCCATATCAATTTTTTAAAAACCCATAATAAACATAGCTTTGATGGCTACATAAGGTTCCACTATATAGATTTTTAATAATTTACTTAAGCATTCTCCTAATATGAGTGTTTGAGGTTAAACACCTAACATGAGTTGGGCCAGTCAGAGTCCTTTTCTGGAAATTTTCAAACAAGAATTAGGAGAATCAAGTCATTCCTTCTCTGGAGGAAACTGGCATATTTCCTGCTAAATGAAGTACTCTTGTGGCAATAAAATCCCTTTTTTCCTTTAGGAAAAAGAGAATAGGGGGAAATGTGAGAGGAGATGCGGTCCCTGCATGAACCAGTTAGCAGAAAAGCTTCTCCACCTTATTAGTCCTGCTACTCACTTTTGCTTCCTCACTCTCCATATTCCCAAAGCCTTTGCTCCCCTGGAATCAGCCCAGAGACTCTGCAGTGACGTCCAAATTCCATGACAGCTAGGAGGTGGGTGGATGGGTGAAATGTGTTCTCGGCATCTCAGGACTACTTAAAGCCTTTTTCTAGAGAAATATGGTTATCCATGGTGGTTAATTCTTCAGGATTATACTTCAGTACAATTATGGGTTACAAGTGTTGTTACAGGAACCTGACTACCATGTATTTTTTTCCTATGGAAAAAATGTCCAAACAACCACTGATAAACACATTTTTCAAGCAAATACTTTATAAGTTGTGACTAACTTTTCTTGTAAATTGAGAGTTAAATTCATTTCTAAGCTATGGCAGTATTTGACTTTAAGGACACACACAGAAATCTAGAGCATTCAAAATAAAATTTTAGACACAGTCCAATCAACTTACCTATAAGGAGCTTATTATGAAATCATGGGAGAACCCCATGACTTATACATATTGTATATGTGTCAATATGCGTACATACATATGAAACTTACAATTTGCCAAAACAGCTTCCTTTTATAAGGATAAAACAAAGCAACACAGAAGACAAAGCATGAGTGCAAGAGAAGGAGGTAATAACTACCATTTTCACTAGTAGTACACCTCAGCTTTGACAATGAAAACATTAGGTATTTCTTGAAGATTATTCAAAAGATAATGCTTGAAATGGGTTTTGTAAATCATTTATTATGATTGAAAGGGAAGAAAATGATAGGAGACAAATATTACAATTAAACATGTAACATTATTCTCTTGTAACCAATCATAATAACATACTTTGAATTTTTTAAATGGCTATATAAAATTTCCCAGAAAATAAAATTTTCACATCATCAGTTACAGAAAATTGATTTCTTTCCATCAAAATATTTTATCTCTGCTCTATCAAAAATAAATGCCAAGTCTAGGGTACTACCATTTAAGCTAAGTCTTCACTACTTGTTTAAATTAGATTTTCGGGGGGCTTACCAGATGGTGAACTAACTATTGCCTGAGAATAAAGTCCTCACACATATGTAACAGCTCTGCCAAGCCTGTGGTTCACCGACTAATGATTATTAAATGGTTTTCTGGGAACTCAGAAACTACTGTATCCCAGCCAAAAGGCTCCTGAGAGTCATCTCAAACTGGTAACCTATTTATTCTCAGAAATTAATTTGCTTACCCAGTGAGTGGTTGTGGTTCAAAAGATTTAGGAGAAATAGTAAATGGCAATCTATTTCTATGGTTTTTTTTTTTTTTACCTTTGTCATTACCAATAAAGCAAAATCTTACTTGATCAGTATGCTTCTTGGCTCTGTCCTTTCAAAGGACGCTAACATGGGATGGAGCATTTTTAAAAGGCTTATAGTGAGAACAGTACATTGCCATAGGGAGAAAGCAGCAAAAAAGAAAACATGAAGGCTCTGCCAACAAATTAATTCAGCAGCTAACTTTTTTTTTCCAATTGGTTAAAAAAAATACCATACACAGAGTGATAAATATACGTCCAAAATATAAAATATTCTATACATAAATAAAATTAAGTATACTCATGATTACTATTTCAATTAAACATTTTTGCAATGTAATTTTCATGTCTTATCACAGTTTCATTTTTATCATGAATAATAAGTATTTTGACACAAACCGGAATGTACTGATCACTTACGTAACCTAGTAAAGTAATACGTTTCTAGACTCTTTCACCTAAAAATTTACCTCCTTTGACAGAAGAGTTACTTTCTCTTTCCTTTTAAAAAATATTTTTGGGAATTTATTTTTAAACTATAATTAAAAAGGACTGTATGAGGAAAAGCTTTAAGAATGGTCTTTGTTTTCATAGATATTATTATTTAACAAAGCAAGGTCAAGAGGACCCAGCACTAATGCAATGAAATGTGGGCAATATTCCAGTGAACTTGGGTTATGTTGACAGCCAAAGAATGTCAGAAATCACTGTCTCATTTTAAGTTTTACACTCCAGTGATCTGAAAAAGTGACAGGGTACACTTTCTAAAACCACATAGGAGGTTCTGGTTACCTAGCTCCTGTTTTCTCACACAATGATTCATAGGGCCAGAAGACTTACTGCACTTGCTCTAAAATTTACCCTTCAACACCACCCTGCAGCTGTTTCTTAAACTGTATACTCTACTTCTTTCTAAACACCATATCATTAATTAAAAGCACATTTAATTACAGTACTTAATTTTTTGGCAATGAGCATTGCCAAATAATCAACTGGTTTGCCAAATGAGAGTTTGGAAAAACTCCCTTGAATCTCACTTTCTGAAGATTGTTAGAATATTTTTTTTAAAAAGAGAAAAAAGCCTTGATGTGTCTGATGGCAAAGGAGAAGGTGATGGAAAAAAATGACAAATTCTAACCCAGTTAAGCTAAGAGAAAATCAGCATGTGGGAAAATCTGTGTTTAGGTCTTATTACTAGCATTCATTTGCATATTTATGAATCAAATGAAAGAGAGTAACCCTCATTATTTTTAAAGAATGGACCACTACTGTGTGTGTGCCATGCTGCCAGGATGTAAATGAACTTATTTGGAGCCGAGGCAGCCATTGGTTAGAGAACAGGGAGTGAATGTTCAGGTCCCTGAGCTTTCAGAGTAAAGTGGGGCCTTTGGTTGGTCTGCTTGACAGAAGGGGCTGGCTTCCCATCACCCTGGCTTGAGGACCCTGGGTCCGAGCTGAGAGCAGCGCTGGAGCAGAGAGGTGGTGAACCACCTTCTGCTGATAGAAGTTGTTCATGTAGCTGGCGATCAAAAGAGTGATTTCAAGAATCTAAAACAAGAAAAATGGAATTGTTATTCTCCTGAGAAGTTCTCATCACTTCCAAAAGAGAGTGAAGGGTTGGCCATGGGTGGTCTCCATCTGCAAGTACCCAGGCTACCAGATTTCCCTTTTAACCAGATCAAGCAGTGCAGTACAGTTGATCCTTGAACAACACAGGGGTTAGGGGCCCCAACACTCTAAGCAGTCAAAAATCCATGCATAACTTTACAGTGCCCCTCTGTAGCCACGGTTCCTCTGTATGCGCAGTTCTACATCCATGGATTCAACCAACCATGGATCGTGTAGTAATGTAGTATTTACTACTGAAAAAAAATCCATGTGTAAGTGGACCCGTGCAGTTCATACCCATGTTGTTCAAGAGTCAACTGTACTTACATGTTCAGCACCATCAAGGCACTGACCTATTTTCCCATTACTTAAACCAGCAGAAAGTGATACTTTAAAAAAAAAAATCAAATTTAGTGGCAACATTAGAAAATGTGACAGTAGTACAATTCTACCAGTTATCCTAAAGCCACATTTGTGAATACATGAATAAGAAATTCAGTGTATTATATCAACTCTTTAAACTAAAGCACTGAGTGTACCATGATCTTCTACACTTACAGACTTCACTTAAGTATAGATTTAATGAAGAAACATATATGTCATTTTTTAAAGTTTCAAATTCTAAAACAGTAGTCTCTTTTAGTTGAGAATTTTAAGACAAAGTCTTCGAAAAATTAAATTCCCATTCTTTTTCCTAAAATCAGAGTTACATGTTAGAATGCAGCCCTTTTATTTACTGCTTTTATTTAGAGACATTAAAACTACATAGTTTGCTAAAAATAGTAAAGAAACAAGTATGCCTTAATTTTAAAACCTCACTCTTCTCAATAATGAGTCTATAAAGTGAATTACTACAAGTACATAAGGTAATGTACTACAAGTACATAAAGTACCTGACAATAACAACTTATGCCAGGACCACTTATTTTGAACTTTCTGTATACCAGGCACTGGGCTATAAATACTTTACACTTCCTTCATTTTATTCTTAATCCAGGAAAAAAAAAAAGGTAGCATCATACCATTTTTTAGATGAAGAAACCAAGGTTTAGAAAGATAAGGTAAGCCAGAATTTGGACCTATGGTTGTTTGATTGTAAGTAGAGTCTGTTTTCCCATGAGGAACTTATTCTTTGTACAATATATGTTTTAGTATGAAAAAAACTAGCATAAAAAAGTTAGCATAAAGCCTTCTACTCACCTTGGGTTTTGCCATGGCAAAAAGTAATTTCTCTGTTGGTTTGTCCTTTGAATGTGCATTGTTAATGACTATCATAAAATCATCTTGATAACCTCCAAAGGTCATTAGACTCTTGTACACATAGCTGATTATTAACCTCTTCAAAGAGAAATAAAAGTAAGTATGTTATACAATCTTTATTTTCAAAGAAAGATGAGAGATGATTAATAACATGTATCTCCATTAAAATGATGATGTGGTCAACCACCGCAGATGGAAAATATGTTTTAAAAATTCCATAAAGTTCCAAAAAGCAAAACTTGAACTTGCTGTGCACCAGCAACTATTTACATAGCATTTACACTGTATTTGTCCTTAAGATTTCTATCTGTCTATCTATCTATCTATCTATCTATCTGGTTGAACCATATGAAACTGATTATTTTTAAGGTTAAAAAAAGGTCAAATATTGGCAAATCCACATAGTTCACCCTGATATATAAACTTTGATATGTGTAAACATAAACAGTATCATGCATACTACTTCTTTTTTAACATTCTGCTTCTTTTAACTTAACATGTTATGAACATCCTTCCATGACAACAAATGTACTTGTATAACATTTTAAATGATTTTATAGACATTTATTTGGATTTTATAGACACATAGACATTATTTAACTAATCTCCTATTGAAGAATATTTAAGTTTTTTTATTTGTTACTATCTTAAACAATATTCCAATGAATATTTTGGGACATATTTCATAATACACATAGCCTAATTATTTCTTTGGTTATAAACCTCAACAGCTAAAATTGCTATCTCAAAAAAGTAAGTCTTTCCAAACTCAAAAAGGTTATACCCATTTACATTCCCAGCATTACAGTCTTGCTAACACAGGATATCATTATTCTTTTGAAACCCTGCCAATCTGATTGGTGAAAAGTAGAATCTCACTGTATTAAACTGAATTTATTTGCTTGATGGTGAGATTAACATTTAAAAATACATTTATTGAACATTAGTATTTCTTCTGTGAATTGCCTCAGCCCATTTGTCTATTGGTGTGTTCATCATTTCCTTACTGTTTGAAAAAACATCCACATTCATAAAGGATACCAACCCTTCATCATACATGCAGCAAATATTTTTTCCCAATGTGTTACTAAAACAATTTAAATAATATAAGTCAAAGATGTACAGCCTAAAAGGAAAGGAATCTGCGTATCTAATGATCAGCTTGCAAGATTCTGAGCAGACCATCCCAGCAGTGAACACCTCTAGTGCTGCAGGCTGGCAATGTCTACTTCCTGACCTGTATGTCCATCTCCCGGGATCTAGGAACTGGTTTACTTAGCTAAGGTAACTCAATACTTGTGTACTACTTCTGTTGACTTTAAGTCACTGACTTTATAATCTATCTTCAGATTATCTATTCAAGAACTAAAAGGCATTCAGGAAACATAAATGCCTTCAAAAAAGTTTTTCAGCAATTATAAGGAGAAACAGTTAACTATAACACTAAAGGATAACCTCGTTTCCAAGAAATTCTCAGTGATCCTGACTATAGCCACAAGTAGGAGAGCCCACTACACCTACCAGGTGAATTTAGCAATCCTTGCCTACCAGGTTAAAAAAAAAAAAAAAAAAAAAAGAACAAAAATTTTAAAAGTACTCTGATACATATAAAATATGATAGAAAATAAAGTAAATTTCAGATAAATAAATGAGTAAATAGAAATCACAGTTTGATTTTATATTTAATCATGTAAAAAGCTCTAAGATACCGTCTATGTACAAATGAACTGGTAATTGATATTATGGGATAGTATAGAAATTGTTATAGAAGGCTTCATGAAACTGAACTTAAAACTTTGGTAACTGAAGTTTCTACCTAAATGTTATCTTCAACAGTTGCATTTTACACAGGAAGCAATCTTCCGAACACAATAAATGAACAGTCATTTTACAAATACAACCATGATTGCAATTTAGTCATGGTATCTTAATATTTTTCTCATATACAATATATAATCTGTCTAATCTTGATTTAAAAGATTAAATTGTAACCATAGTTATATTTGTAAAATGACTATTCATTATATAGTATTAGGCAGAGTGTTTTCTGTGTATGAGAAAAGTCAGATAAAGATATTATTACCTTCTGTTTACAGTACACTGAGCAATGGAAATAGTTGACTCAATGCAGAACTTAAGGATTTAATCTTACCATGGAGTTGTATTCTAAGATGCTTAAACCATCCTCATGTATAGCCAGCCACATGAAAGTACTTCCAAGTGATGATGGGGTTATGGGCTATGAAGAGGTGAAAATACACTACATAATAAATGCTAAGCAAAATTACAGAAATAATTTTCAGTGTAAATGCAATGCAGCATTTGCAATAACACAACAACATCTTGTTATTAAAAATCTCACCTGGGGAGCAGGCAGTGTGGTATAATGGAAAGAGGAGTGAATTAGCAGACCTGGGTTTGAGACCCAGATCTGCCATTTATTAACGTGTGCATTTGGACAGGCCTCTTAAGCTAACCCCCAGCAGGTTTCATCTCTCCTTCTTCAGTGTTCCTGCATCACTCTGTTCATGTCACCCTTAACCATATTCTCCACACAGTAGTTGTTTCCAGGCCTATTGCAATACTGGTTGTGAGTTCCTGGAAGTGTGAGTACAACCTATCTGAAACCATGGGCTGATGTATCCCTAGAGCTTAGCTCAATGTTTGGCAAACAGAATTCATAAATACTAAATGAATGAGCAAATGAGTGAGAGAGTAAATGAGTGAATGGATGAATGAATAAAAAGAAGAAAGCAGAGTTCAGCTGTTGTCTTCAGTCTAATGATTAAGCCTACTGAGTGTAAGAAATGATTTACGGTATGAGGAAGTGGAACGGAAGGGAAAAGACAGAGACGCTAATGGCTTTCCTTCCCTTTCCTTAGTGTCCCTTCATGGTTTTCTTTAAATTGTTAGAAATTTCCTTATTTTCTTTTAAAAAGCCAAATGTACTAAACCTGGGGTTACTCAGGTTATCACTTTATATTTTACTGAACTGAATAACCCCCCATTCTTTCTTACTTTTGCAAGAAACAATTTGGCACCAAAGAATGGCCACTTCCTGGCTACTGTCAAATAGATTCGCACACAATCAGCAGCACTGTGTCCCCGGAGGGCCATCCATCTGGTTGACAGTCGCTGGCAAAGCTGCCTAAAAAAAGAAAAGAACAAACACAAAAGAAAAACACATAAATAGTGTATGATCCTCCCAAGAAAAAGCTCTCCTTGAGCCGATCCTAAGCACCCCCGGGAGACATACTCACAACCTAGGTGAAGCTGTTGTTTTGTGAGTCCCATCTCACCACTGTCTACCCCTTGTCCTTTTTGTAGCATTCCTTCCACCAAATTCCCATACGGTTAGTGCTCTCAGTATGTATGACCTAAGTTCCCCGCTCCCCACCCCCTTTAGGTAAAATTTTAAAATCTGATAAGCTAACATCAAACCGCATAAATTAGTTTAAAAGGGAATAACTTTCATTTTTAAAGAAAAGTACAAGAAGTCAAGACTGAAGAATGAATCCCCAACAGTGGAATTTTAGGTGCTACCACTCCTGGTTTGGAGACATGCTAGCTGCAGGGGAAACCTCTTAAACAAAAGTACAAAGGCAGCCACTTATTCTACACGGACAACAGACTGATCTCAAATGTTTCTGTTTTGGAAAAATTCATGGTGAATTGGATTTGCCTCTATTTTTGAATCTACAGCTTTTCTTTATATGGTCTCAAAAATCAAAATTTCAAATTAGTTCAGTTTAATTAAAATTTTATATTATAATAAAAAAATCTTGTGTAAGAAGATAGTTTATTTTTATTCCAATTTGTTTATAATGGAATACCCTAAGAGATAAAAATTTTTTGGTAAACACTTAATAAAATTAAACATCTTATTAGCCAATTTTTTCCTTTTCTTTATTAGCACGATTAATTTGGACAAGAATGAATAAGGTCAAATGAAAAGTAGATCTTCTAAATTAAGGTAGATTTTTTTCTCATTAAAAAAAGTTTAAATCTAGATACTACAGTTTCTAGGCACATCTTAAATAAAAAGAACTATAACCTCCTGGTATTCAACAGTACTTAAAAAATCCTGAGAAAATTGTTATGTACAATATTTTTCATCTTTAAAATTTGAACAGAAAAATGTCACTGAAAAACTAGTGTGCATCTGCCTTTTCAAGAGTTACAAATAGTTCTTTACCTTAACTGTTCTTCAGAAGAGTCATCTCTATACCTTTTAGGATAAAATTTCTCTATGAGTTGTTTTATAGTTTGATTTGCTTTGCACTGACTAGTAACATGCCCTGCTGGAGTAGAAAAAGGTCTTTCAAAATCTCCAATCTCCACCTAAGTGGAAACCCAAAAAAGAGAAAATACAGGATATTAAAAAAGAATTTTAAGATAGAAAATTAGTTTCTTTTTTCTAAACATTCTTTATAGCATACAATATATAAATCTATTTGTCATGATTGTGTGATTATGGAATTTATAATCATATATAAATACTATTATTTAAATTTCATTTGAAGTCTAATTATGAAAATAATCTATAATTTAAACATTCCAGTTTCATTTCTACATTAATCACTCTAGGTTAATATCTGGTAGTATTTGCTAAAGGTCACTTACTCTACCATTTCTGTTAACAGCACCAGATAATTTTTCATTTTTAAGGTACCATTTTGGTTGATAATAGTAAGGCAAAATAGAACTTAGAAGTGAAAAATTAAAAACTTATAAAGCTATGAAAAATCTTTAAATAGTATTACTTGGACTTTTTCAGGATCTCTACTGAACATCCTGGGAGCAAGTACTATTTTCTCATTACTTTCTTCCTAGATTTTCTCCATAAATGTTACTGTATTCATCCCCTCAATCTATTATTCTGTCATTTCTGGAAATAAAGCCCTTCATTCCCCCGTTTCCCTGAATGAAACAATGTTCAATCCTTACTTCCATTAACAGGCTACACAGATGCCATCCTCTACCAACCCATCCAACCACTCACCCATCCATCTCTCCATCTACTCTCCCACTCATTCATTCACCCAAACCTATACTGAGTCCCTGTTATATGCCAGGCACTGTGCTAATTTATATGAGAAAGAAAAAAGCTGAACATAGTTCCTATCCTCAAAGAGTTTACTGTCTAGTAGGGGAGACTGCAGAATAAATAAATACTTGTGATAATCTGTGTTAAATGCTTTGTATAGGGTACCAAAGAGGGCTCAACAAGTGAGATGGGGTGGGGGACATACTGAACATCCACATCCTTACCTAGAGTACTCCCCAGCAAGCAGATGGAGGGTTCCATCAAGACTGGGATGGTCTTACAGAAAGCCCTGGGTCTCCATCTCAAAAGGGCCCTCTGCCTTCAAGTAAGCTGTTAGCACCACCAGCCTCTGAGATTCTGACCCCTGTGACCTCCCTTATCTAGTTCTTAATCTGACCAGCTACTGTCTAAATTCCTCAGCTGAGCTTTGCCCTTACCGTCTATTCTTATGACTTTCTAGTTTCCTTGACCTGGTCCCTTACTTGATGGTTTCTTGGCTTGGCTTTGCTGTTCAGTTTTTTCACCCTCATCTCCTATCTAGTCAGGTATCATCTTCATTTCCTCACACCAAATAAAAGTTGTCCACCTGCTCTTCAAATACATCGAAATCCTTCCCCCAGAGCAAGCTTTTCATTGTCCCCACCTATCACCAGGCAGTACTCAGCACATCTAGCTGTGAACCCTTCGACCAGGATTTAACCTCTAAGGATATGGCAGTTGGACAAACAATAGTTACAAACATAGAGGCCACTTAAGGCAAGCTTGGCTGTTAGGGAACCCTGTAGTGGGATATTCAAGCTCAGGGTCTCCCTTTCTGGCTCCTGGCATACTGTGTGGCACAGAATGAGCACAATAAATGTTTGGAGAATCAACTCCAAATGTTTGGAGAATCGACTCAGATAATCCCCAATATGCCTCGCATCAACATGACCCCTTACCAGACACCATGTACAGCAATCAGAACATCAGCTCCAAGAATTTCCTGATTAAGACAGAGAATATCAACAAGGACCTATAGATATGCAAATCTACAACAGAAATAACTATTTTCTTCTACAGACCTCAAATTTCCTTAGCATATTTCATTTATCTTCACAAAAACTGCTCTGAGGAAGAGACCAGAGGTATTATTTAATTTTCCTTTTGTAGATGGAGAAATTATACTTTTTAGTTAGTAATATGCTCAGAATTTTCTAGGTATATGGTTTTACCTTTCTACCCCTTCCGAAAATTCATCTAAAAAATATTAGAAGTGTGTATCTCCAAAGGATATGATAATTTTTCTTGGAGAAGCTTTCCCCAGAAAATTAAAAAGTAAGAAGATGAACTTATTAAATTTTAGCAAAAATAAGAGTGATTTTAACAGAGCATCTGTGCCTTTAGAGAACCAAAGCCTAGAACGGCATGTGATAGGAAATCATTCCTAATTCTATCACCAAGAAAAAATGTGACCTAGTTCTCATTTCTTCAGCTTTTTATCACTTGCAAAAAGGGAACACTCAGTGTAGCACTGAACGCTTTAAAGTCTGGATGACCATAAAATTGTTATGAAAGTAAACTAAATTATCAACTAGTCATTCATCCAAGAACATTTATGGAGAATGGACCGTGTATAAGGCACTGTGCTAGATACAAACATGAACAGAGAGAACCCTTGCTCTCAGGAAGGCCCCAGTCAGTGGTGCAAAGCAGAAACAAATAACTAATAATAAACCACTGGGGTCAGGACAGTAATAGATACATGCAGGGCATTACAGAAACCCCAAGAGGAACATTTAACCCAACCAGGCAGAATTCAAGAAGGTTTTCCTGGAATGAGTGACCCCTAAGAGGAAAATTAAAGGATAAGCTGAAGTTCACAGGTAGAGGCATGGGAGTAGAGGTGTTCCAAGCAGAGGAGACAAGTAAAGTTTAAGAGGTGAGAATAAGTTCAAGGTAGAGAGTATTAAAAGATAAGGCTGGAGAGGCAGGCAGAGTTTAGATCATGACAGTCCCTCCATGTAAAGAGAATGACACAGCTAGATCCACATTTTTGCTGTATCTCCATTCCAGTTACTGTATATTACTGCTGCCTGACAAACCACCACAGCAGTTTCTAGGCCCAGACCTTAGAAAATGGCAGCTTCCACATCTTGTCTCTTCCGGGACAGCTCTTGCCACCCCACCACCATTCTGTGAGGAAGCACAAGCAACCACTTTAAGAGGCCACGAGTAGGTCTTCTGGCTGACATTCCCCAGCAGAAGATCCAAGTAAGAGCTGGCATCAGCCCCAAGACGTGTGAGTGAATGAGCCTTCAGATGATTCCAGCCCTCAGCTGTAGAGTCACAACCAGTCTACAAGCTACGCCAGCTGATGCCATATGAAGCAGAGACAAGCTGCCCTTATACATCCCTGCCCAAACTGTCCTTTTGAGCCGAGTCTTGGAGTCATTTGCCATGCAGCAATAGGTAATTGGAACAATCTCTCTAGATTCTGCATGGAGGATAGAAGTGTGTGTGGGACCAGACCAGAGAAAAACACATTACTTAGAAGCCTGATGCAGGAGAGCAGGCAGGATGTGATGATGGTCTGAACCATAGCAATGGTGGTCAGCATGGAGAGGAGGGAACAGAGTTAAAATGGGCAGGGCACATTTTAACTGGGGGAAAGGGAGAGAGGGAGGGCAGAGTCAATGATGATTCCTGGATTTGAAGCTTGCTTGGCGGACTGAATGGAGGCAGTGAATACGCAAAATGTGAAGGAAAAGAAGGGAAGATGATTAGTTCCCAATATGTTGAATTTAAGGAGCCCATGAAAGAAATATGAGTTGGAGAGAAAAGATTTGGGAATCATCAGCACAGGTGGTAGATAAAATTAAGAGAATGAGTAAGATGTCCTGGGATGGTACGTAGAGTGAGAAGACTGAAAACCCTGGGGAATCTAAGCCAACGACACATTATTTTCCCTTAAGTAACCTGTGCAAAGACCCAGATGGGGTAGAGACTGTGGGTTGTCTCTTATGACCATTCTCTCCTTCTTTCTGAATAATAAAAACCTTGAATTTAGCTGGGCTCACTGCTGCCCAGCTAAGACCACATTCTCCAGTCTCTCTTGTAGGTTGGCAAGGTTGTGTGACTTAAGTTTTGACAGAGAAACATAAATAGAAGCGTTCTGTGTAACTGCTGGGAAGTTTCTCAAAAGCAGGAGGGCATGCCCTTCTTCAGTCCTTCCTCTATTATGATACCTGGAACATTGATGTAATGGCTGGAGCTCTGGCAGACCTCCAGGACCGTGAAGATGACAGCAGAATGGAGGGCAGGACAAAGCCTATGCCCCTAATGCCTGTAGAGGTGCCAGCATGCCTATCTCTCGCTGGGGAGGGGCAGATTCCCCCCACCCCCACATCCCTCTAGAGTTCTCTTAGCTGGTCTAATAATGAAACTGACACAAGACAGATTAACAGGAGAAAAAAAACCAATTGAACGCACAGAGGTCTCATAGAAATGGAACCCCTGAAATGACCAAAGCAGGCTGTTTATACATCATTTTTAGACAAAGAAACAATTATTTATGAAGATTTAACAAAACAAAGGGGTTTGTGCTTGGGATAGCAGATTAGTGAAGAAGCAACAAAGTTTGTTTATACAGCTTTCTTAGCCTTGAATTCCCTAACTCTGTTGACAAGGATGCTTTTTATCCTCCTGGTAGAGGGAGGATACATTCACATGGGAAGATTTATTTCCTGCTTTTAAGGGAAAAGAGGGAGGTCAGAGTGTTTTTTAAATATATATCATTTTTTTTCACCAGCTGTTTCTCAAGTAACTTTAATTAAAAATAATCAATATGCCACTGAGGCATATTTGGGGGCACACTGCCCTGGGCCCCAACACTCTCCATATGAGAGACAAATAACACTTCCATTTTAACTGTCATTATTAATTTGCATGCGTGTGTGGTTTACAGCCAACTGAACTTAATTGATACAATAGGTAAATAAAAGAAAGTGCTTTAGCTTTTTAGAAGACTGATCCTATTTGACTACTGAATGATTTTAGCGTGGCAACCGCAACCCCACAGTTCAACACTCAAACTCCTTTATTAAATGCAAAGCCTACTGGGATATTTTCAAGAGATTAAGAAACTAGGTTCCCTTTATGGAATATTGTCTCATTCTACATCACCGCAATTGTCAGCAATGGGAGTCAGGCTGCAATTATAATGCCTGTAATTTTTAAGGTGTTAATCACAGCAAATTGAATTTAAAGAATTACGAAAGGTATATTGTTTTACTACATTTAATTCAGTGGAGAAATTAGTATTTTATCATTACAAAACATCGCTCTATATAACATGGAAGTTACCTGAGCTAAAAGAGCTGCCATTTCTAACGCCAGGTCTCTGTTCAGAGGAAAAAGTCCATTTACTATTTGATCATTTGTCTGATACATTAACAGCAGCTTTTCTCTATCAGTCTCTCCACGAGCTTGCACTGAGAAATACAGTCTGTAAAAAAAGAGGAAATTTTTCATTAAATGATCTACTTACAAAGGAAAAAAGTAAAGAGAAATCCAGAGGACTGATATGGGGCTGCTCTAATAATAGTTCTCTCAATGATACAAACTTAGACCATTACTATCGGTTAATGACCTCTATTTCTATTCTTTATAACGTTTATCAGCAAACTGAGGAAAAACTGCTTTGAAGTTGAGGCTGATGGATGCTTCTATGCTACCTTTATGCCCTGAAATACCTTAATACCTTAGATGTTACTGAGGAAGGACCTCAGACACCAGTGGGCTGTATAAACCCAGTTTTCAAAACACCCATGATCTTTCCTAAACACCTTGGACACACCAGGAAATAGAAAATGAAGGTTTCAATTCAAAATCAACATCGAATGGTCAAGTGGGGGCAGTTTTCTCTGGGAATCTAAAAGATAATATTTGCACATTTAAATGTTTTGACTTTTTTATGCCACATTCTGATAAACAGCCTTAGGATCTCAAAAATAGTTTACATGTTATCATTATTATTTGTTGAAACATGACATGACTTTTGTTCGCCTAGGTTTTCCTCAATTCAGTGACCCTCTATGTTTAATCACTGTGCTGTTTCTAGGTATGTGAGGCTTCTGGGGCTCTGATTCCAGGCTGCAGGGCAGGCACAGAGCACTGTAAACACTGTAAATGCCGTGACAGTGGTGTGGGTAAGCAGCCCCGTGACATACCTTAATATTGTCGTGACAACACAGTGGCAGGAAAACAGAGATTTAGATCTGGCATTTGTTAAGTGTGTGCTCAATTAGCTATAACCGGATTTCCAGCCTTTTTTCCCCTATCCACTTGATGATAGGGAGAGGACACCCTATCATCAGTTACGGAATCTTTCGTGGTAATTACCTCAAATAGCAAGGAATGAGAGGGCAGCAGGTCAGAATCTTGGGGGAAGCACGGGGGATGTACTTTGAAAAGCTATTCCTCCCCATGGTTCTGATTATTCTTTCCGTTCACGCCAGCTTAAGAATCACTGGCCTGGGCCATCATTCAGAGTGGTTTCTTTTTCTTTTTTTTTTTTTTTGTGGTACGCAGGCCTCTCACTGCTGTGGCCTCTCCCGCTGTGGAGCACAGGCTCCGGACGCACAGGCTCAGCGGCCATGGCTCACGGGCCCAGCCGCTCCGCGGCATGTGGGATCTTCCCGGACCAGGGCACGAACCCGCATCCCCTGCATTGGCAGGCGGACTCTCAACCACTGCGTCACCAGGGAAGCCCCAGAGTGGTTTCTTGATAAAATAATTATCTGTGACTGCATGATGGCAAATTGTTAACTGGTAGGAGAATATGGCTGGGCAACAGAAATAGTTTCTAAATTCAAAATGGTGTTAGCAAAGGGATATAAAATAAAGAGAATAAAGTTTAAGATGAAAGCCCTCCCTTTCTGGCATGTGAATGTTTTTGTACTTAGCTTATTTTCTCCACTTGAAGTTAAGAACTATGTCTTATTCATCACTATAATGCACTAGGGTTTTTTTAGCTAAGTGTTAACCATTGGAAGGTTCTTAGTAAAAGTTTGAATTGGTAATACAGCTAGGAGGGAAAAAAGAACCTGTAGTTCAAATGGCTACAGGCAAGAAGAGCTAAAGTGCATTTTCTATCATTTCTGGCATGCCAATAAGACTGCACCTGGGAAGGGAAAATGAAGCACTATAGGCACAAAGGAGAAAAACAATTCCAGACACACATATAGGAACACAACCTGTAGGAATCATAGGCTCAAGCCCCTAATGGAACAGTTTGGTCTCCAACAGCTATACAGGGATTTGGAGAGAATGTGAAGAGGAACTAAAGAGTCACAAAAATGATCCGGAAGTCAGAAAATCAAATCCATGGATCTTGAATAGGAAAGGTGCCGGGGTTACATGATCTGAGTCTCTCCCAATATGACCAGCTTCCAGCTGCTCTCCAATCCTAAAGAGGCCTGAAACAGAGAAAGGGGCTTCTGTCACAGCAGGGAGGGCACACGTTGGAAGGCTGGGGCATTCCCAAATGCCCACCTCCTCACTTGACATCCAGGAAGCTGAACACTGTGGGATGGAAATCATGTCACTATGTGGACCAGTATCAGCAAACACACTGCTCCAAGTTCGGCAGAGCTCTGGGCACTGCTGGGTAATCCTTTTGCTCGCCTCCAACCGGCTCCATATTTCAGTCCTCAGAGCATTTATTTCCTACTGTTGCCTTTCTCATCATCATGTAAACTTACTGAGGAAGCAGCCTGCCTTCACTCTCCATTTACCTTCCTTCCTTCCTCTGTCCACCATGGTCTGCTAATAACACTACGAAATCTGCAATTGTGACGCCCCTTCCCTGTTCTCCTCCGGCCTCTACGGCTACCACAAGTCCTGTGCTCAGAAGTCACCACTGTGAGAAGCCTTCCTCTCTGTTCGCACAGCAGCTTGTAAACAGACATGCTATATTCACAATAAGAGGGGTATCTACTATGTGTTAGGCTCTGATCCAAGTGCTTTACATTTGCCAACATTTAGTCCCTCAGGCAACCCTAAAGGTAGGTACTGTTTTCATCTCCACTTCACGTAGAGGGGACTTGAGGTACAGAGATGGTGAGTGACTTGTTCAAGGTCACAGAGTGAGTGGGGGAGCCAGGATTCTAACCCGGCAGTTTCTCTCCAGAGCCCATGTTCTTCACTACTCTGCTATACTGTCACTGTTACAGCATTAATCACATTGCTAAGAATTCATGTCTGTCTCTCCCTATAAACTGTAAGATTTCTAGAGGGTAGGAAAATTCTATTCACCTTTGAATCTCTAGGGCTTCAACAAGGCCTGGCACTGGCAGACACTGGATAGATGTTTACGGCATGAATGGATAAATGAATGGTGGTGAGAATTGTTACATATGGAAACTATTTGCCAAAAAACCCCTGAAAAATCCCTTCTGTAGCCTTGGGTAAATGAGTTAACTCTCTAAAGCTTCAGTTTCCTCATCTATAAGATGGAGATTAATGATAACACCTACCTAGAGGTGTTGTTAGGATTAAATGAGATGACGCATATAAACAGCTTAGCATAGGGCCTGGCATGTGGTAAGTGCTCAATAAATATTGGTGGTAGTTATTATTATTACTATTATGATGATGATGAGCCTTCTCTAGAAGTCTTTAGAATCACAAGAGTCTCTTCATACTAGAATTGTTTTTTTTTTTTGGTGTGAACACAGCTGAAGAAACGGGATACACTAGGTGAGCTGTGAAGAGGCTTCTTGGCGTAGGATCCAATGGATATAGGTGCTCTTACAGTCAGCTAAAGGTGGCAGAGATGGGAATGTTAAACTATGTTCCAGAAAACAATAACAAAGAATTATTGAAAATAATCTTTCGTTTCAAAGAGGGGAGAAGGAAGAGTTGTTCTCTGTAGAGAAAGACCCTTGCCAGTTTTGTTTTGTTAAAAACATGCTTTGATTTTGCAATTTCAAATAGACAGTAAGAAACCAAATTAAATAAGTGGCTTAAATATGAATAGAATTTAAACGTTAGTTACCAAATGGTTTTCTATGAGAACAAGTTCAAAACCTATTAATTAGATCATTAACCCCTAAATCTAAATAATTAAAATTCTATAACTTACTCAATATAAGCAAAAATTCCATGATAAAGAGAGCTGGTGCTTTAGTTTTGCTTATTACAGTGCTGCCTGACAGATGAAGAATCAAGTCCGCAGCTGCATGGTAGGTCACAGCCAGCTCCCCTCCTAACTCTGTCCCTGGAAATTAGGGCTTATTGTCTAAGCCATTTTACACATGTGCAAATCACGACCACATTTAGAAACAGTACTTTCTCATAGATGTGGCTATCCAGCCATTTCAGATTTCTGTTAAAAATTAAACGTTATGATCCAGTTGCTTTTTCTCTGATGTCAAAGATACTGTTATAAAGCTTTGTTGTTGTTAACAAGGCATTGTGTTATTCATGACTGTCTTTGTCCTCCCTGGTGGTGTTTGCTAGACTTGGCACAGTATTCTTGCGTCTTTCAGACCACTTTTCTCCATTTCATCCATTTAATTTTGGTTCCAACTGTGGCCATCACAGTCAAAATCAGTATGTATTCAGCATTCATAAGCTATGCAGTGTTAGGAATAGTCTTAGACATGGACGTAATTCCACTTAGTGCCAACAAAACCAAATGAAAATTCCTGAACCTCTTCTACATAAAGATATATGGCAGGTCAGGTCCAGGAGCTGGCTTCCTTCCACAAAAGACACAGGCAGCAACACGGACCTCTGGATCAGTGCTTCTCAAAACTTAGCATGAGTAAGAATCACCTGGAGAGTTGTTAAAACAGACTCCTGGGTCTCATCCCCAGACATTCTGACTTAGTAGCCCTGACATGGGGCCAAATAATTTGCATTTCAACGTGTTTCCATGTGATACTGAAGCTGCAGATCCAGGACCCACACTTTGAGAACCACTGCTCCAGTGATCACAAAACTAAAACAATCATCTGGAAGGTCCACGTCTTCCAGCTGCTGTTCTTGCCAGTCACCAAAGGGCCACAGATGAAGACTGCCATCAGTGGAGACAGGTTCCTCTGGGAGTACAGCCTATTAGATTTCTAGTATCTAAATAATCCTGCTTATCTCTACGAATATGAGATTTTAAAACCTTAGATACCAAAGCTTGACAGTTACCTTCTCGTTACCCAGAACTCCTGCGAATCACCTCAGCTCATGAACCCCTGAACAGAGAAGCTCTCGTGGCTCAAAACCACCATTTATTCAGATCAAAGGAGTCTGTTCAAACAGTGGTGACCCTTCAATGTCTGAGTGTGTAAGAGGAATCCACAATATGAATGCACAATATTTATTTAACTGTTCCCCTATTGATAAACTTAAGTGCCCCCTACAACACTTATTTTTTACTGTTATAAAGCACACTGGAATATTCTTGCCCACTTGTGCGGGTATTTCTGTGGAATAAAGTGTCAGAAAAAGAGATCCTGAACTGGATCAAAGGCTATCACATTCTTTATGTTACATAGTACCCTTACTTCTCATATCCCAATTTCAGATCTATGAACATATTCCAAAAGTAGCCTTCTGAAAGAAGTCAACACTTCACCAATAATTCTACCAGGCTCTTGGTCTGATATTTTAGATTTCTTACTTTATGGGATATGAGTCAAATAAAACGAGAAAATACTTTTTTTTAGTTTTTTTGCTGTTGTTGTACAGTTAATATGACCTGGTCAGTGAACACTCTTTATTAAATACCACCTTCTACTAATACATGGAAGAAAAGAAGATATAAAAAAAAAAAAAGAAAGAAAGAAAACCTGATTTCTGATCATTTGCCAAAGTCTTTTAAAATTGTATCAGTTGAGAAAGTGAGTGCTCCAGCCCTACCAGCTTTTTCCCAGTTCCTGAAACACTGCACAGCCTCCTTATACAGGCTTTGAACATCCTTTTCCATCCATTTCCACTCTCAGCGCCCTTCTGACGTGGGCATAAGCATCATTTCCTTAAAGAAGCCTCCCAAAGTCTCCAGGCTAGGTCAGGATTCTTGCCATGTGCTCTCACAGAACCATGCTCTTTTCTTTCAGAGAACTTAATATGTTATTATATACTCATTAGAGTCATTGTAAAATTAGCAACCGTCTTCCTCACTAGCCTGTAAATTCCAAAAGATCAGGGATTGTGTCTGTTTTTATTATCATTTTATCCAGAGCATCTAGCAAGTGCCAGGCTTATAGTTGAAGCTCAATAAATACAGAGGAAGAGAGAATATGAAAGCATAAGAATGAATGGATATGAATATATCACTTCTGAAAGACTTGGGTAAACAAATACTTCTTACTACAGATCTGCAGTAGGGTATTTGAGTATTCAGTCTTATGAAAAAATGTAATAATAGTGTTAAAGGAAATTTTGAAAGTGAAAAATTGTATCAACTACCCTAAGAGAGTAGCTATATTTTCCTATAGTTTTTTTCTAATCTTTGTCCAAGTGCATATTTTTATAAAATATAATTATTCATGACATTAACAAAATAGAATTAGAGAAAAAAATTTATATGACAGTTTCTTCTTCTTCCTACAGAAACAGTTACCATTTATAAGAAAACATATAAATGAATATAACTTTTAAGGCTATTCAATAGGAAACTAAATTGTAGGTGCATGATTTGAACATAGACGCATACTCCCACTTTGGCACTTGGCAATGGCATTACACACCTGTTTTTATAAGTGAGACGAACAGTTCTCGTACCTTCCCATTTCCCGGGCTGCTGTTCTTTGGAAGCCTGTTCCCATTTAGAGATAATGTCACAAATCTAGAAGGGAAGTGGAAAATGGAGATTCATAATATTTTTCACATTGGGTATTTTTTGAAGACAAGCATGTCTATAGACTGAAATTTTTCAATTAATGTGATCAAACCAAATGGACTGGTGCTTTCTGTTTTAAGCTTCTGCAGCTCTGAGTTTAGAATTTAATTATAAATCACTCTTTGGTCCTCTTATCCTTTTGGACACACATTAACTTTGGACTATGGCCATGAATTTTTTACTCAAAAAGGAATCTTAATGAAGGACTGCATGAGACTGGAAACAAGAAGATTCCAGGAATTTTTTCATGATTTAGTCACTGAAGAAGCAACTTCCCACCTTCTGAGTTTATAAAGATGGGAATAACTGATGTTATACCAAAGAAATCTGAAATATAATGTTAAGATTTTTGATTGGGAAAGAACAAAAGTTCTTCAGGAACCAAATAAATGTTTGTTTGTTTTTTTTAAACTGGTCATTTGAGAATTATAAATAACAGTTTTCAGAATTATGGGGTAAGCAGTTATTCACCAAAGCCCCTAATATTTACTCAGTTCAAGCCAACCAAAAATACTAGCTTATCTTATTGACTAATTATTAACAGTGCTCAAGGAATGTCTGTCTCAAAAATTTACATTTGGAATTGTTGATCTAAACAGGATATACTTGGAGCTGAGAAGAAAAAGACATTCATTTATCTAGATGTCTCAAAATGCAGCTGAAGAAATAAGGCAGGGCTGGGGTGGAGTGAGGTGGAAATCCTATCTTCTGACCAGTACTCCTTAAGGAACTAAGTATGAGCTTTAACATAGTCTGCGGAACCCCATGGACACCCAACAGATTGTTCTGCAAGTGGAGCTGGGCTTCTGGGAGTTAGATGAAAGTACTGATATTTCACATGTTCTAAACTCATGGGTGTGTCCCTTGCTTTGCCCCAATTCTTTAATCTCCAAATCATAGAAATACCTTTACTCCATAACAAGGTACTTATTCCCAAGAGCAATCAACGACCACATCAAGTAAGAGGGTCCAGACCTGGTTCTAGCTGTTTGATTTGCCATAAATCATTTTTCACTCTGGGCTTCAGTTTCCTCATTTGCAAAATAAGTGGGTTATTTCTCTAAGGTTCCTTATGGTTCTATATTCTATATTTTTAATTGTTGCCATTGCTAGATGGAAACTTTATTACAGTTATTTTACTATGACCTAGAAAACATTTTCAAAGAATCTTCCAATTCTCTGTCTTTGCTCATGATTTTCCTTATATCTGGAATCTCTTCTTTATTTCCACAGGTCCATATTCTACCAATCCTTCAAAGACCAGTTGAGCTCTTCCCTAATTTCCAATCTGAACTTAATCTCTCCCTTTGTAGAATGTTCACCTCGCTCTTTATATATTTATCACTTTCAGATTGAAGGTTATCAGTGTATAAGGCTACTCTTTCCTAAGCAAATTAGAAGTTCACTGTGTGCAGGGACAATTTCTCGACCTTCTTTATATTACCCACAGGGTCTGGACCAGCTCCTGGGACACAATAAACAGTTCCATGAATATTGCTGAGTGAATGAATAAAATGGAAAGCCATTTTATTAGACCTTCCACACCTCCACTCTTTTTACCCTAATATTTAGGGTATTATTACTATTATTAATCCTCTTCCTCTCTTTAACATGGAGTATGTGTGTGTGCAGATTGTATTAAGAATTCTACAGCTTCAACAAAGTCCTGCAATATTATTTTTATTATGAAAATTAGATTGCTTAAATTTTTGGAAAATTCTTCAGCTAAACTTTTTGCAAATAGCAGAGTAGCTTCTTTGCTGTTTTCTGGGTCTGCCTCCTTAAAAGGAGTTGGTTTTACCTTGATGTTTCCTTGAAGACAATGCTCTAAATCCCTGCCAGAAGGATCATCTGTGAACAATGCAAATCCAGACTGTGCTGGCCTCCTCATCCCTGTATCCTGGTTCAAAGTATTCAAAAATTCTTCCACTGTGGTGGATGCATCAAATCCAACCACCTAAACAGAAATAACAAAGTCGTTCTCTTAATAAAAAGGTACAAACATTTCAAACTTAGATTTCAGGGGGGAAACAGAGCATTCTTGATGCATGATTAATGATAGCATATTTATCTAGGTGTTTTAACTTTTTTTCCAAAGCTCCGCTGGAGAAATTTAATGTCATCTTAGTCATTACCTTGATGTAAGAATTCAGAAATCTTGGCTTCAGGCAACAGACATGAATTCAAAATAGAAAGATCATTTGACAGCTGCAAACATCTTGCAGAGATATTATGCCTGCCCATTAGAAGCAAACCAAGAACTACAGTACAATATGTAATCTTTAAGCAAAGGAAAAAAAATAAGCATATTTAATTTTTGTTTCTTTAATATGCAGTTAAGTATCTGAATTCCATGATAAAAGGCTTAGAGCTACAAAGACTAATTGTTAGCTTTGGAACATGTTTGCTTGAGTTAATAAGCAAGCATTTAGATCTGAGTTGGGAGGGCTTGGACAGTTTTCCCAGATAATTCCTGAGATCTGGAGACTTTAAAGAGACTAAACCTGTACACATCCCACACGTTAGTAATTATTTTCTCACCTAGCCGGTACCCAGGTGGGGAAAGGCCTCAACCTTTTTGTTTTTCTCCATCAGAATTATAATGGTAGTGAAACTCCTCCCTTATTTGGTTCAATTATGGATTTTTTTAGTGTGAATCCTTTTTAGCAAAACTGTTTCACAACTCAGCTGTCCTGACAGAAGGTCTAATACATTTGCATATTTATCACTGCCAGGAGCTGACAGAAATAGGGAGACAGTCTCACTTCCCAGTTCCACAGAGTGCACTTAGAATTCTAGACTAAGCATGTTTTCACTGGGTAGAAAGTCTAATCTACCTGATATATCCCATTCATGAAGTGTACGGGGATACTGAAGGGCAAAGAATGATGATACGGGTTTCGAAGAAGGGTGGAAAGAATTTCCATTCTTGAGGGTCTTGCTTCTCGATCTCCATTCTGTTGCGTTCTTTCTACACATCGTTGGCAGTAAATGGCATATTTTCCAAATTCTGTCCTATAATACAAAACTTAAGATAAAGCCTAAGAACAAATTTAATTAAGACAACCTTTTACATATATGAAACCATTAAGAAAGCTTTCCTTGGTATACAAATATTACAATGTATTATGCTAATGTTGACAGTAATTTTTCTTTTCTTTTTTTTCTTTTTTTTTTTTTTTTGCTGTACGCGGGCCTCTCACTGTTGTGGCCTCTCCCGTTGTGGAGCACAGGCTCCGGACGCACAGGCTCAGCGGCCATGGCTCATGGGCCTAGCCGCTCCGCGGCACGTGGGATCTTCCCGGACCAGGGCACGAACCCGCGTCCCCTGCATCGGCAAGCGGACTCTCAACCACTGCGCCACCAGGGAAGCCCAATTTTTCTTTTTGAGTGATATTAACTGCTGTCACTTTTCTCAAATTCTAGTGTCTTTACTTTTGCTACTGACTAAACCAGACTTCCCCACAAAACAATCTTTATTGTTATTGTATTATTATAGTCACAAAATAAATTTAAAATTACCAGACATTTTATGGTCAATATACAATGATTATATTAACAAATATAAAGAAAATAACTGTATAAAGACTAGTACAGGATAACTTAAGAAGTGCATGATGAGGAGAGTTCTCTTTTGAAGAACATAGAAGTTAATGCCATTCCTGCTAAGCAAGGTAAGAAAATATCTTCAAACAAAAATAAAAATATATTTTCCTTTTTTGCAAAACATGCACTTCTTTAAAAATGTTAAATGTTAAACAAAACCAGTGGAGTAAATAAATCCAGTAAAAGCTGGATAGAGATCTTATTTGCCCTCATTTGTTATATATAATTTTTATTCTGTTTATAAAAGCAGGTTGATAATATCTCTAAATATATTTTTATTCCAGTGCCTTCTAGGTAGACTTTAAAATGTCACCTTTGTCTGGTGGGGGTAGGGGGTCCTCAGTGACTGCTATTGGAATTACATGACCTTGATGACAGAGTCTCCAAAATATATTATGAGCTGGAGTATATTTTCCTACTGCTTTCAAGTTGTTTTTTGATTCATCATTTGTTTGTTTGTTTGAATCCCAGAGTCTATTTAAACAACCTAACATGAACCTCTTGGACAAAATGATTCTGATAACCCTTGGCTGGGTGCCCTGGGTCTCACTGTAAGAAAGCCACTCTGACAGCTGAATTTTATGAGTCTTTTTCAAAGGAGTAAAAATTCTGAAGTAATTCAAATACATACAATTATAAAAGGTGGGAAGACCATCAGAGAAGTCTTCTACATAAAAGAATTCAATGTGAAGAAAATAGTAATAGGAAAAATAAGGAAACAAAATAGTTGCTTTTATTGAATGAACACCCACTAATGATAAGACATTCATACTTGAAATGTACATAGACTTTTCACTTAAAATATTCTTTGTCAGTTTTTCAAGCTTTTACTGTAATCTTCCATAAGAGATGTAACATAACAAAGGAAATATTTTCCCAGCTCCGCATAAATGATAACCAAAGGCTTCCTGTACCAACATTTGTTTCACACATTCTTCCACAAATGTACCTGGCAGGTTACTGAATACCTTTGACTTATTGTAGACACTCAGAGGCCACATAAATGGTTTAGCTGGCTAGAATTCTACGTACCTGGAATCTGCATTCCTCTTTAGGTGGAGCCTGAGGAGCCACAGGAAAGGATGATGGGGAAGGAAGAGCCCAACACAGAGCGCTAAGAGCTGCCAGCCCTGGGCAAAGAGAAGCATCACAGGTCAGACACCATGTGGTCATCAGAGATCCAAGTCAGGGCAAGTATGACTGACAGAGGCTGTGAGAGCAAGGGGATGATGACAGTCTTACTTGACCCCACAATGTTTTTGCTTTTTCCATATATACATTATCTGCTTAGAGTGTTTATAATACATAAAAACATAAAAGCTTCCTATTGGGTCAGAACCATAATCCATCTAGTTGTATATATCGTTGTCTACAACTGAGGTACCAGAAGACATGATATGGTAGTCCTTTTTGATATCACACCCAAAGATCAGGGAAATTGTTGCTTTTTGTTCATTTATGTATTAACTCATTCATTGAAATATAAGTAATGGCACTGAGAAAGGGCAGATTGAAAAATAGTAAAAAAATTATTTATACAAAAAGCAAAACCTATCTACCCATATATAGATACATACCTAAATAAGGGGCAAGTACAAAAATATTAACAGAGGTATGTCTAGGTAATAGAATTGTATGTGATTTTTATTCTTCTCTTGCTCTGGACTATATTCTATTTTCTATCTTAATTTTTTTAATTAAGCAAGTATAACTTCAATAATTTTTTAAATGTCATATAAAAAGGGAGAAGGGGGAAAGGCCCTGCCCTTGAAGAACCTACAGTCCAGGAGAAGACATTATATATTGAAACAGTAATTTATAATATAATATCGCTAATACATTGTAATAATATTTTTTAAGTATAACCAATGGAGGGAATGACTTACTGTTGCGGAAGTCAGGAAGGAATATATGGGAGAGATGTTGCTTGGGCTGGACGGTGAAGTCACAGGTAGGAAGAAAGCAGAGGGATCCAGGTAACAGGAATAATGCCAGGTGCAAGGTGAAGGATAATGCAAAGGCAGGGTGTGTTTGAAGAATGGGGAGAGTTTATTCATTCACTGTACACTGGAGGCAGGAAGTATAAAATGAAGTGGAGAAAGAGGAGGCCACTGGAGCCAGACTATGAAGGGCCCTTGATTCACATAAAGATTAAGCTTCAGAACCCCTCTATGCACAGGTCCCCTCCAAGTCCCTGGGACAGGCCCGACGAGCTGTCCTAGTCATATGACATGGTCATACGTTCTTTTAAGATGTGTAAAAGTAATGTATTTTGTACTCTTTTTCTTGGAGAGTATTCGCTGCATAAGCTTCAAGTCCCACAAAACCTGGATCCACCCCTGAGAGTCTTACAGGCTAGGGTAAGAAATTTCTATTTTATCCTGTAGTTGACAGGGAGTCAGTAAGCAAAGATTAAAAGAGGTATTCACTGAAGTGTAAACACAAGTGACCAAAAACCCCCTGAAAATAAATTCAACTGCACTAATAATTAAGGAAATGCATCCAAAATCAATAGTGAAATACTACTTTTTACCTGGAAAGGAATTAAAAGAAGAATTACACTGAACATTGTTGAAGATATAGGAAAATTCTAGAAGTGGACTCAATGAAATTAACTGGACTTGCACACAAAATTTAGGTTCAAAGATGTCTAATGTAGTGGTATTTATTATAGGAAAAATAATTGGAAAAACCTAAATGTATAGTAATTGATATTAATGCAACTAGTATTAATGTTTTGTAGACTATTGAAGGCTATAGGGGAAATGATTATGTTCTATAGTTTTTAAAAAGTAGTATGTACACTGTAGCTCTAGTAATGTGAAAAACTGTGAGTGCATAAAGATATACACATATACATTTATATATAAATATAGAAACTGAAAAGATATACATAAAAATATTAATAGCTGTTTTTCCATTTCATACTTTTTGTAATTTTCCAAATGTCTGTATTGAATATGTATTTTTCTTACAATCAGGAAAACAACATCATTTAAAATTGCATGTATATGTATCAACAGATACCTGCAGTGGTCCTGGTTGATTCTGTGGCTGTCTCCGTCTTGTCTGTTTAATGAGCTGACAGCAAATTTCATTCTGTAGCTCAGGATGTGTCAAACAGATTTGCAAAGCACTCTGGGCTAGAGATATGTGGTAATCAATTGCAGGAGAGTCAACTGCTGCATTTATAAAAAGTTGGCAGGTCTGAATTAAATGAGAAAAATAGATATACTCAGGGTGAGAAATGATCAGATTTATTCTGCATGAAATATTGATTCTCTTCTTAGCAATAGCTTTTGTTTAAAAGGATGGAAAAGGATATATTGTGATAACACTAATCAAAAGAAATCCAGAGTGGCTACATTAATATCAGACAGAGTAGATTTCAGGGCAAGGAATTCTGCCAGAGATAAAGAGGGTCATTTTATAATGATAAAGGGGTCAGTTCATCTAGAGGACATAACAATCCTAAATGTTTTAATAACATAGCTTCAAAATACATGGTGCAACAACCTATAGGACTATAAGGAGAAACAGACAAAGTTCACAATTAAAGTTAGAGATTTCAATATCCCCTGTCAATATTTGAGAGAACAAGTAGGCAGAAAAATCAGTATGGATTTAGAAAATCTGAATAACACTATCAACCAACTTGAACTCGTTTGTAGAATACTCCACCTCAGAGCAGAATATGCATTCATTTTAAGGGCATATGGAACAGTAATAGTCCCTGGTCTACCAGACTATAAACTTCATAAAGACAAAGACTCTTTCTTATTTATCTTTGTATTCTCTACACAGCACAGAATTTCTAAACTTATTTGACTACAATCCCTTCCCATCTTTATTTTTTTCTAGTAATACCAATTGGCATCTTTAAAAACTAGTTTACTGAGGAAAATATTTTGGGAAATAGTAGAATAAATAACTTAAAATGAATGCAAATAAATACTTTTTTCCCCCAAAGAGATTAAATTTTGGAGTAGGTTACTAGTAAAAGGTTATAGCATAATCTTTCCTAGACATTTTCCAAAGTAGGATATTAATACTTATCATTCTTCATTTTAACAGTTCATTGTAATAAAACTGTGAAAATTTGTTTTGTTCCTGACTAGAGGAGTAGGTACACTTGCCTGAGAAAGTTTAGGATGGATTGCCTAAAGGCAGGGGAAGCAACTTCAATACTCATAAAGTGTTCTATCTATGAATTCTTAAAAATACTTGCATGCTAATTGAACCCCAAATTATTGTAATAATGTATTAAATAAATTTATAGTTATAGTGTAATATATATTTGTTTCAATGAATTAAATATATTGGGCTTATTAATGACATTGATATTTGGAAGTAAAATGAAGTTCTGAGAGTGAAATCAGTTTCTTTTGAGCAGGCTATTTTAAAATGTCAGTCTTTTTTTCTTACAACAAATGTCAGAAAACAAAAGAAGTACTGCTTGTGACAGCATATAGTTGGATCTTGTTTTTTTATACAATCTGACAATCTCAACCTTGTAATTGGAGTGTTTAGACCATTTAAATTTAATGTAATTATTAGTATGATCAGGAATAAATCTTCTATCTTGCTATTTGTTTTATATTTGTCTCATATGTTCTTTTTGGTTTTCCTCTTTTTCGGCCTTTTAAAAAATTACTAGAGTATATTTTATGATTCTGTTTTATGTCCTTTATTGGCTTATCAGCTAAACCTCTTTGACTTTTGTTAAGTGGTTGCTTTAGGGTTTTAGCATATATTTTAATCTTATCACAGTCTAACTTTAAGGAATATTATACCACTTCTTGTAGTATAAGAACCTTATAACAGTATACTTACATTTCCCCTCTCTCAGTCTTTGTGCTATTATTGTCATATATTTTATTTCTACATATAATTTTAAACCCCACAATACAATGTTATTATCTTTCCTTTAAACAGTCAATTATCTTTTAGAGAGATTGAAATAACAAGGAAAAATTCTTATATATTTACCCACATATTTGCCATTTCTAGTGATCTTCATTCCTCTGCATAAATCCAGATTTCCATCTGGCATCATTTTCTGACTGCTTAAAGGACATCACTAAACATTTCTTGTAGTATTGGTCTTCTGGGGAGTAATTCTTTCAGGTTTTATATATCTGAAAAAGCCTTTATGTCACCTTTGTTTTTGAAAAATATTTTCACTGGATATAGAATTCTAGGTTGATAGATTTTTTTTCCTTGCAGTACTTTAAAGATGTTACTCCACTATCTTATGACTTGTATAGCTTTCAATAAGAAGTCTGCTATCATTTTTATCTATGTTATCTATGTGTTAGGTTATTCCTCCGAAACCACCACCCTCTTTATAACTTGTCTAAAGCAATTGATTATGATGTATATTAGAGTAGTTTTTGTCACATTTCTTCTGTTTGAGATTCACTGAGCTTCTTAAATTTGAGAGTTTTATAGTTTTCATTAAATTTGGGAAAAGAAAATTTAAGCCATTATTTCCTTGAATATTTTTCTGTTGCCCTCCTTCCTTTTGTGGAACTCCAATTCCATATATGTTAGGCTGATTGAAAATATACCATTGCTCACTGTACTGTATTCAATTTTTTTCAGTTTTTTTTAAACTCTGTGTTTCATTTTGGATAATTTTTCTTGCTATGTCTTTAAGTTCACTAGTCTTGCCTACTGCATTATCTTACCTGTTGTTAATCTCATCCAGGGTATTTTTTTCATTTTAGCCACTACATTTTTCATCTCTGAAAGTTCAATTTGGATCTTTTAAATATCTTCCATTACTCTTCTTAAAATGCTTATGCTGTCCTCTACCTTCTTGAATATATGAAGTATGGCTGCTAGTCTCCAAGATGGCCCCCAATGATCTCCATCTCTTGATATTCAGACAATATCTGAGGCAATCCCCTTTCATATTGTACTAGAGTTAGTCTGTGTGACCAGTAGAATATGGCAGAAATAATGATATGCCATTTCTGAGGTTAGGTTATTAAAAATCAATGTGACTTCTATCTTGAAGTACTCTACTTGATGCTTAGTGCATTAGGAGGTCTTTCCATTCTGGATGATAGGAATACAAACTATTTTCAGCTATGTGTAAGCTCCAGGAATTTTTTGTTGTTGTTGTCTACTCTTTTCTGGTAGTTCTTTCCCTAGCCTCAGGTAGTTTCCTCACACACATATGATTATCAGTTCTCAGCTAAAAACTCAAAAGGAACCCTCTATGAATCTGTGGAGCACTTTCCCACTCTCTTTTGCTCACTCCTCTCAGTTTTGTGAATTCTAACCATCTTGGCCTCCTCAAATTCTAAACTCTGTCTTGGTAACTCAGGAAGACTGCCAAGCACTAGCTGGGTGTCCCTCCATGCACTGTGGTCATGAAACTCTCTCCAAGATATTAAGCTGTAACGATTGTAAAGCTTACTTCATTTGTTTTCCTGAGGATCACTGTCCTGCACAGCCTGTTATTCAAGTCTGAAAACCATTGGTAGGGTAAATCCAGTTCCTGTTGCTCCATCACAGCCAAAAAGCAGAAGTTCTTCCTTTTATCTTCTAACTGGTTGTTGTTTGTATGTGTAAAAAGTTTTGATTTCTGCTTATTAATTTTGTACCTCACTATCTGATTGAATTATCTTTTTTGTTTGTAGTAGTTTTTTACGTTTTTTTCCCCAGGTATACAATTATATAATCTGTAAATATTTGCATTTCCAATTTGTTCCCTTCTAATTTGTTTTCACTGCCTAATTGCAACTGGTTAGTACCACTAATAGAATGCTAAATAATAATAATATTAATAATAATGGGGATACACTCTATACAGATTATGCTTTAATAAGAAGTTTTTAAAGTATTAATGGGAGTGAGTATCATTGTCTTGTTCCTCACTTTAATGAAAATGTTTAAAGCATTTCCCCATAAAGCATGACATTTGTTTTTACTAAGCAGGAATATTTTATCATGTTAAGGAAATATCTATCAGTATTTTATGAATGCCTTTTCACCATCTATAGAGATGACTGTCAACTTAATAATAAATAATATTAATAGATATCCTAATATTTAGCCATCCTTGATTTCCTGGAACAAATCCCTCTTAGTCATGATTAGTATTCTTTTAGTATGATGTTGGATTCTGTTTACTAATACTTTATTAGTTTTTGTATGAAATGCTCTGTTTTCTACAATATTTTCTGGGGTTTGGTAACAAAGTAATACTCACTTCACAAAAAGAATCTGGTGACATGATGACTGAGAATTGCTTCAAAATAATCCAATCTTGGGGAGCAGTGGGGTTGGGGAGAATAAAACAAAATTGGTCATATGTTGACAACTGTGGAGCTGGATGATGAGTATCTTATACTTCATAATATTCTCTCTACTCTTATATATGTTTGAGATTTACCCCCAAAAAAGTAAAAGAAAAAAATTTTGCAAAATTTCCTTCTTTCCTATGCTTTGGGACAGTTTAAACAGCATTGAAATTAACCACACTTATAAAGTTTAGTAAATTTCCCTGTTTAAATTTTCATTCACCTGTGTAACTGGTTTTCACCATTTATATTTTGTTATAAAGTTGATCACTTCATCCAGATTTTCAAATATATTTGTATAAAGTCTTTCTTGCTTTGGGTATTTGTGTATCCTACAGGTGGATTTTTAAAAACATTAAAATTATGGTAATTTTAAAACATGAACAAAAGTAGAGAGAACAGTATAATGTACCCATCACCTGGTGTCAACAATTGTCAACAAGCATTTTGCCACACTTGTTTCATTCAACCCCTGCATCCACTTTTTTTCTGTAGTATTCTAATGTATATCATGTTATTTTACCAATACTTCAGTAGGGCTCTCCAACTGATAAAGATTTTTTTCCCATAACCATCATGTCATCATTATCCCCTTCCCAAATTAACAACAATTCCTTAGTATTATCTAGTAAATATATAATTTTTTGAGATGGGTGAAATGTAGGCAAGAAAAAGCCAAAAGAGAGACAAAAATTGAGACTTTAAGAGACTATGGGAAAATGAAGTACCAAGGTCCCAGTGCAGAGTCAAGACATGAATCCATAGAAGGTACATTATATTCTGAGACTGGAGTAATGGAGGAAAAAATAGATGAAAGAATGTCTGTTGAGAAGAGAGATTCGAGGTGATCAATTCTGATGCCCTCTAATTTTCCCAATGAACTAGAAGGTAACTTTGTTGTGAGGAGCATTACTAAGTAGGGAATTTGAGGGGATGTGACCAAAGACAAGCAAAAGGAGAGACAGTTGACCCTAAGGAATGAAGACCACAGATTTACATTGGCTCCAGTCCATACGGCTGTTTGATGCTCTCTAGCAGTATGTATGTGATTAATAGGGAAGCAGGCAAGACAGCAGCATTGATCTCGGTTGGGGTTCAGCTGAAGATTGCATGGAACTACAGGTCCCGAGGAACTACGAGTATTAATGAAAGTCATCCAGACTAGATAAAGAAGGAAGAAAAGCCAAGAGGCAGTTATTGTGCTCTCTCTTGATCTCAAAGAAAATAAATGGCTCAAAAAAATGTCTTAGTGAGGATGAGAAATGGAAGAAAGAAAATTAGAGAGCTCATGGGCTAAGAGATTATGGTTAATGAAAGACACATTAGAATTTAAGCTTTTAGAAGTGGTGTACTTATGAGGAATGTTGAGGTCAGGGTGTGGACATGGAGAATTGGAAGGTGAAGCAGAGTAGAGAGGAAGCTTACTGACATTGAGAAGGTCAGGAATCTTAAGGCCGTGGCATTGGTGAGTGAAGTGATAGTAAAGTAATTCAGGGTAATGGCAAGATTTGAGGCAGAGAGAAAGATGTGAGTTGGGAGCCAAAATCCTTAATGAAATTTGAGGAGTTACCAGAAGGTGACTGATGACAGAGATGATGGGGGAGGAGGATTAAGAGTGATATAGTTGAATGGTAAGCTTCAAGTCACCACAGATTTCTAATAGAGGTTGAGTAATAAGAATGTGAGAGTAGCACTGGAGAAGAAGAAGGATATTGATCCCTCTCCCAACACTGAGGTACAAGTGATGTCAGGAGTCTCTCCATTTGAGAGGTTGAAGAGGAAATGATTCTTCTGATATTAAGTGTTTCCCATGGCCCAAACCATAGATAGTTTACTGCAGTAAATCTCAAATCCTCACTCAGAAAGCATATTAAATTCACCTAATTTTATTTCAGTAGATTTTCTTAATCATCATCACATTTTGAATTTTCTTGAAAAGAGTGAAACTTTATAATCTGAAGTTTTATTTTTTCCTATTAAATTTTTTAACAATATATAACTCCATATAAAATCTTACCTTAAATAATTTAATTGCTTCTGTCTGTAGAGCTTCCGAAGGTAGTGTTGTCAAAGGAGAAATGAGTCCTTCTTTGCTGTGACACAAAGTAGGGTGTCTCCATATCTGAGAGGCTAAACACAGAATGAAATATGAACAGGAAATAGAAAGAATCACTTATTTTGGCCTCACATTAAATCAGTCCTTTAGAAATTACCTCATTCTGGCTTGGCTCACAATTTAAGTCATAAAAGTCATGAAAAACCTCTGATAACATTATTTTATTTCAGTTTCCAGGCCATTGGGATTCTCCTATTTCTGTTTTGGATAAATTAAAGCTAGAAGAGTTTGGTACAAATATTCTAGGCCAAAACAAGTCTACCAGGGCGTTGTCATGTTGCTTAAATGTGCTAGATTGGTGACCTAGGTGGGGAGATGACTGTACATGAGAGGGAGCTGGGGGAAGATACAGAGAGGAGAAGCCAGAGCAGAAAGAGACAGAAAGATAAAGAGGAACTTGAAGTCATTCCTAAAATCAACATTTATTAAATTCCTATGCTAGACATTGCAAATAAAATGTGATCTCTATTATTAAGTAAAGCAGAGCTTAGAATCTAGGCTCTCAATGGGGAAACCTTAGCCATAAAAAAAAAACTTCAGTGCAAAGCAACAAATGCTATAAAAGTTTTAAATGGTAAAGTGCATTGGGATATAATTTTAACATTTATTAGGCACCTTTTATGATCCAGATGCTGAGTTGGGATGGGTTGGCTGGGGGAGCTCCTAAGGTAGGTAGGATTTCATCAAGTTGGTGGGGAATGTGAAGGAAGAAGGGTGTTCCAGGCAGAGGGAGTAATGTGAGCAAAGGCAGAGAGGTGTGACAGGATATGGACATGTCAAGGAATGACGGTGTCCTTAGAGCCGAAGAACCACAATGAGAATCCTGGCCCATGACAAGCAAAGCCTGTGAGAAGATGGGTACATCTCAGGGAAACAGGAACCCGCAAAGTGAAAACTCTATTAGGCTAAGGGAGTTAGGGGCCCATTTCATAAACCATAAAGCCTTGTACGTTATAAACTTACAAGGTTCCCCTTCTATATTTAGCAATTTGCAAACGAGTTGTTCAAATTCAGATCCAACATTTACATTGTTACTTCCAGCTGCAACAGTCAGGTGATAAAGCCAAGTGTCCTTAAAAATCAAAACATATTAATAGAAATGTTAACCAAGAGACAGTTTTTGATGACTTAAGGAAAAACACAACTTGCATAAACAGTAGAAAACTTTGACAATGGAAAAAAAAAAAACACTCTTAATTTTTAAATAATAACTAAAAGCCACTTAAAGAGTTCTGAAGCCAGCTTATTTGAATTGTGCTCATAGTACCTTTTCCCCATTGTTCACATTTAGAAAAGCATAAGAAAATTAAGAAAGTAACGTGACATTAAGAGACTAGAATAAATACAACCAATTAATATTCTTTTATGAAATACAACAAATTCTATCAAATTTAAAATCTGACTCCTAGTACGTACAAATAGAACATATAAAATACCTAGGAAATCCAGAAAATTTAAAGAAGGAAATAATACCCAGAAGGAACATACCTCAACACAATAAAGGCCTTATAAGAAAAGCCCACAGCTAATATCATACTCAATGGTGAAAAAGTGAAAGCTTGTCCTGTAAGATCTGGAACAAGGCAAGGATGCCCACTCTTGCCACTTCTATTCACCATACCACTGGAAGTCCTAGCCAGAGCAACAGAGTAAGAAAAAGAAATAAAAGGCATCCAAATCGGAAAGGTAGAAGTAAAATTATCTCTGTTTGCAGATGACATTATCTTATTTGTTGAAAACCCTAAAGGTTCCATAAAAACACTGTTAGAACTAATACATTTAATAAAGTTGCAGGATACAAAATCAACATACAAAAATCAGTTGTGGGGACTTCCCTGGTGGTGCAGTGGTTAAGAATCTGCCTGCCAATGCAGGGGACATGGGTTCGAGCCCTGGTCCAGGAAGATCCCACATGCCACGGAACAACTAAGCCTGTGCGCCACAACTACTGAGCCTGTGCTCGAAAGTCTGTGAGTCACAACTACTGAGCCCACGTGCCGCAACTACTAAAGCCCGTGCACCTAGAGCCTGTGCTCCGCAACAACAGAAGCCACCGCAAGGAGAAGCCTGCATACTGCAAGGAAGAGTAGCTCCCACTCACCACAACTAGAGAAAGCCCGCGCACAGCAATGAAGACCCAACACAGCCAAAAAATAAGTAAAATAAATGAACTAATTAATTTTTAAAAATCAGTTGTGTTTGTATACACTAACAATGAATTATCCGAAAAGGAAATTAAGAAAACAATCCCAAAACAATAGCAAAAAAAAAAAAAGAATAAAGTACTTAGGAATAAACTTAACCAAGGAGGTGAAAGATTTGTACACCAAAAACAATAAAGCACTAATGAAAGAAACTAAAGCAGACACAAATAAGTGGAAAGACATCCAGTCATAGATTGGAAGAATTAATATTATTAAAATGTCCATACTACCCAAAGCAACCCATAGAGATTCAAAGTAATCCCTATCAAAATCCCAATTTTTTTTTTAACAGGAATAGAAAAAACAATCCTAAAATTCACATGGAACAACAACAGCCCCCAAATAACCAAAGTAATTTTGAGTAAGAAGAACAAAGCTGGAGGGATCATACTTCCTAATTCAAAATATATTACAAAGCTACAGTAATCAAAATACTATGGTACTGGCATAAAAACAGACATTAGGTCCATCAATGGGCCTAATGATTGCTTCATTAGGCCAATGGGACAGAATGGAGAGTTCAGAAATAAAACCATGCATATATGGTCAACTGATTTTTGACAAGGTTGCCAAGAATACAGTGGGCAAAGGATTGTCTCTTCAATTAATGGTGTTGGGAGAACTGGATATCCATAGGCAAAACAATGAAGTTGGAGGGCTTCTCTGGTGGTGCAGTGGTTTAGAATCCGCCTGCCAATGCAGGGGACACAGGTTTGAGTCCTGGTCCCGGAAGATCCCACATGTTGCAGAGCAACTAAGCTTGCATGCCACAACTACTGAGCCTGCACTCTAGAGTCTGTGAGCCACAACTACTGAGCCCGCGTGCTGCAATTACTGAAGCCCATGCACCCTAGAGCCTGTGCTCCGCAACAAGAGAAGCCACCGCAATGAGAAGGCCATGCACTGCAACAAAGAGTAGCCCCTGCTTGCCACAACTAGAGAAAGCCCATGCGCAGCAACGAAGACCCAACACAGCCGAAAATAAGTAAATAAAATATATATTAAAAAAAAATGAAATTGTACCCTGATATCACACAGTACACAAAGTCAATTCAAAATGGAATAAAGACTTAAACATCAGACCTGAAACCATAAAACTCCTAGAAGAAAACATTGAGAAAAAGCTTCTGGACACTGGCCTTGGCAATGATTTCTTGGGTATGACACCAAAAGCACAGGCAACAGAAGCAAAAATAGACATGTGGAATTACATCAAACTAAAAAGCTTCTGCACAGCAAAGGAAACCATCAACAAAATGAAAAGATAACCTACTGAGTGGGAGAAAATATTTCAAATCATATTTCTGATAAGGGGTTAATATTTAAAATACATATAAAACTCATACAACTCAATAGCAAAAAGACAAACAATCCAATTAAAAAATGGGCAGAGGATCTGAAAAACATTTTTCCCAAGAAGACATACAGATGGCCAACAGGTACACAAAAAGGAGCTCAACATCACTAATCGTCAGGGAAATGCAACTGAAAACCACAATGAGTTATCACCTTACACCTTTTAGAATGGCAACTATCAAAAACAGAACAAAACCCCAATAAGACAAGAAATAACAAGTACTGGTGAGGATGTAGAGAAAAGGGAGCCCTGTACACTGTTGGTGGGAATGTAAATTGGTGCAGCACTGTGGAAAACAGTATGGAGTTTCCTCAAAAAATTAAAAATAGAACTACTATATGATCCAGCAATTCTACTTCTGGGTATTTATCTGAAGGAAGTTTTATAATATAAATTTATATAAAATAGTAACTCAAAAAGATATATGCACCCCCATGTTCATCACACCACTATTTACAATAGCAAAGACATGGAAGCAACCTAAATGTCCATCGATGGATGAATGGGTAAAGAAAATATGGTATATACATACAATATTATTCAGCCTTAAAAAGGAGGAAATCCTGCCATTTGTGACAACATAGATGAATCTGGAGGACATTTCTGTGTCTGGTTTCTTAGCAATCAGGTTTGTTGCCTGCTAACAAACCAGACACAGAAAGACAAATACCATATAATACCACTTATATGACGGATCTAAAATAGTCAAACTCATAGAAGCAGAGAGGGAATGGTGGTTGCCAGAGGCCAGGAGGAAGGGGAAACAGGGTGGTATTAGTCAAAGGGTACAAAGTTTTGGTTATACAAGATGAATAAGTCCTGGGAAAAAAAAAAGATGAATAAGTCCTAGAGATCTATCATACAGCATGGTGCCTATAGTTAACAACGTTGTATTACATACTTTAAAATTTACTAAGAGGGAAGATCTTATGTTATGTAGTTCTTATCACACACACACAAAAATAATAATTAAAAAGAGGTTGAGAGGAAACTTTTGGATGTGATGGATAGGTTTATGCCATAGACTGCAGTGATGTTTTCATGCGCACATAATTATTTCCAAAGCATACATTGATTATGTATATAAGGAAGAAAGAAAGAAAAGAATCCATTTTTCTGCTCCCCAAATATACTGGACTTTTTTCTTTCTATTAAAATATATATGTACATTATATTTTCACATAGTTTGAGATTATATTAAGGACGTGCTTATACTATGTTAGTAAAAATCAGAAATTATAATTATCTATTTTTAATATAAAAAAGATATAAGGCTGCAGGATATTTTATCATATGGACATTATTTAATCAATTTCCTATTGTTGAACACTTAGATGGTTATTAATTTCATGCCGATAAAAAAATACCATGAAATCTAACATCTATTAAGTAAAAAAGGGTGTCTGTTATATTTTTTGTGTTTGAAATATATCAGAAATAAAATTATTTTAAAAATACTATGTCCAACAAATCTATACGTAAATCTTTGATTGTACTTAACGGTCATTTGAAAATTATTACCAATACTTAATCATATTAGTCTAAATCATTCTAAATCAACCAATTAGACCTTACATACCTTTTCATGCTTGGATCCAATCAGGAGGTAAGTCGGACCTTGGTCTTTGGGGTGGATCACAATAGTGTAATGTGTGGATAAAAGACTTCGCCCACTGGCTTCATAATCTTCATCTGAATCACAGGATCTGTCAACCTCTTCAACTTTAGCCTCCCAGAGTCTGATCTGACCTAAAGGAAACTAAAGTAAATATTAGTAATTGTAAGGAAGGAACTTTCTAAATATTTTCCTGCTAAAATTTTTCATAGTGTTTTTCATTCTTACCTTTATAAAGCATACTTTTTTTTAAATGAATGCTTAAAGCTAATTGGATTATCCACATTGGTACAAAAGTAGTAGCCACAACCAACATGCCAACTGTGATACTGAAGAACAATTTGAATACTAGACATTTAACTTTTGTGGAAAAAGCAAGAAGCCACTTCCATACAGTGGTTTGGATTATTCATTTGGACCAAAATGACACATTACCTAGTCAAGCAATTCAGTCAAAATATTCATTTGACTTTTTTCCCCACAGAATTAATTTAAGTTATTGGATCAAAAGGACAAGGGTAGACATAGTCTCAATACTATTCATAGAAAAAGTAACAAAGTTAAACAGCTGGTGTGAAGAAGTGTGATTAACTATCACTCTAAACCCTAATAAATGAGGAGTGTTTTGAGGCTATATACACATATATGATTTATTACACATGTAATATATCACAAAAAATGCCATGATTTCTTTCATCTTAATTTAAGTGTAAGAAAAACATCCTAAAAATGATTTATATTAAATTTTACCTACTCTTTTACTGATGAAAACCATTATTTGCTGTGTAGAATATTTAGCATATTTGTTTTAAAACTTTTCTTTAATTAAGTCCATTTATTCCAGCAACACACACAGTCTGCTTCAGATGTACAACTTCTAAAATATTCGGTCAGGTTTGGAATTGCAGCCTGAAAAAGTTCATTGTAACTCCAAGGACATTTACCATCTTACATTTCCATGCTCGGGCCCAGGGCTCAGTGCTTGGACTCTCTTTTCCCATCTACACTCACTCCCCTGGGTGATGTCATCCAAGCTCATGGCTTTTGCATCAGCATGTATTAGCTACTTCCAAATTTATAACTCCTGACCCACACTAGCTCTACTTAGATGTCTAATAGCATTTCAACGTCACTTGGTAAGTCCTCCCCCACCACCTGCTCTCCTGAGTCTGTCCCATCCCAGTTGTTCGCAACTTGATCCTTCCAGCTGTTCAGGCCAAAAAGATTGGCATTGTCACTGCCCCTTTTCTTGCTCTCATATTCCATACCCTTTTAGTCAACAAATCCTATCAGCAAATCTTTCAAAATATACCCAGAATCTGGTCTCTTCTCACACCTCCATTGCCACACTAAACCACAATCAGCTCTCACCTGAATTACTGTAAGAGTCTCCTAACCAGTCTCCTCCTAATTCCCTTCAGACAGTAGCTGGAGTGTTCCTGTTAGACACAGGTCAGATCATGTCACTGCTTGGCTCAAAATCCTCAAATGGCTTCTCATCTTACTTGGAGCAAAAGCTAAAGTCCTTACTATGATAAGGCCCCCTGCGATTTGGTCCCCGTTACTTTCCTGAACTCATCTCCTATTATCCTCTCCCTAACGGAGTCCAGTCCAGTCACACTGACCTTCTCACTATTCCTCAAACACACCTGGCATGCTCCTGCGAAGGCCTCTGCACTTGCTGTTCCTTTGGCTTGGAATACTCTTGCCTCTTTTACTTCCTTCAAAACCTAATTAAAATGTTGGCTTCTCAGTGAGGTCTTACCTAGATATCTTATCTGCCTAATAGCTGATTAATAGTAAAAAATTAATTCATTTGATTAAATGTGTTGTCTTTTACGAGAAACACTGCTTTTTCCCATTAAATTAATTACAGTTATTTTCTGAGTAGTTACCATGTGCAAAGCACCATTCTGGGGACTGAGTGAATAAAATTTCCTTCTGAAGGAAAAATGTGAAATTAACTTATCTATACTTTCAGAAAAAGGCAGTAAAACAAAAGCAAAATAATAGGGCAGAAAATTCACATTAATAAATAAAAAGCAAACTTTAAAAAATAGGATAAAGAAAACTAATTCTACTATGATAATACATGACAATACTATCCTAATTGTGTGCTTTAGGCATACCTAATCATATGACAATCAAGGTTCCATCTACCCCAATATTTAAAGATGATTATTCCTTTACCAGAGGATTTACCATGGTTCTATAAACAGTGAATAGACCGGGTGCTTTTAAATATTTTGACTGAATTTTTTAAAAGACACTGATTGAGATAAAGACAAATTGTTTCTGAAACATCTATAGCACAAAATGAAGTAAGCCTAATACCGATTCACAAGCATTCTCAACACTTTTCCAGTAATTATAATGGATTTCTGTTCAGCTATCTATATTCCTCTGACTTGTTCCTTCTGTGATCAATGTTATCCATTTTTAATAAAAAACAAAATTATTATTAGTAGTAATAGTAGGAACATTTAAATTCTACTCTCAGCAAATTTTAAATCATTTTTCTATTTATAAAACCCGAATATAGAAACTTGGTAAAAACAGAAAGTTATTTAAAAAAAAGGAAGAAAAAAATCATCCATAATTCTACTCCCACTCAACATTTTGGCACAGTTCTTTCTGACTTTTCTGCTATGTGTATCTTTACATAGATGTGCTGGACTGAGAATTATAAACTCAGAATCCCAAACTTCCTGTGGAAGGTAAGCGTGAAAGAAGAGTCATGATTCTCCTGAGACAGCTGCAGTCAGATGCCTGGGCTGATGTATCACAGAGGCTTCTCAGTAAACTGCTGAGTACCAGCTGCCTCTGTGCTTTGTGTTCAGACCGTTGGTGCTGGCTTCTCAGATCTTCAGTGGCAGCTGCTTCCCCGACCTCTACTCCCCCAACTTTTCTAAAGTTATGTATGTCCCTAATTCTGCATTAAAATTGTTAAAAACTGGAATACACAGAGTGGCTTCTGTTTTCCTGACTGATAATTGAGTTAGGGTTATACTGAATATGCAGTTTTGTACTGTGCTTATTCTTGTATTATTTTTATGAGCATATTCCCACATTACTTCAGAGATATCACTTTCAATGGCTGCACTGTGTTAAGTACCAACCCATGAGCGATACTGACAATAATGGCATGCATTTTAAATATGGCTAGTCAGAACTGAGAGTGCAGACTATGAAAATAGAGCAGAGAAATACTAACTGACCTACATGGTCAGTGGACCAAGAAGTTTAGTCTCATTAACACAGTAATCAGTCACAGGCTGCTGTTCTGTGGAGCTGGCATCATTGTTCTATGCAAATACTCTTGGTCCATGTTAGTTCAATTTTTATAGTTTCAGTAATCCAAAGATGACATGGGGTATGCACAATGATAATTAGGTATACATTTCATGTTTGGAAGATACCCATCTTTTTACTTTGAAAATGCAATAACTCAAGTTTTGGCGGGGAGGAGATTAGTTAAAAATGAACGAATGGGATATAGATATGCAGACGGATGGATAGATAAGTGGTATCTAGGGATTCGAGGGCCTGGGACAGGACTGGATTCTTTTCCCTTCCCAGCTCTTTTTTCCTAGCTTGCTGTTCCCTTCAATCAACCTCATCTAGTCTGTCAGACCTGAAAAATATGAGAAATTGATGGTTGAAAGTGGGATAGAGGAAGACTTTTCTAGGTCTTAGAAGAAGAATTAATTAAAAGTTACTAAGGCTTATAATTAAGAATGAAAACCCCTGTAGGGGGCTTCCCTGGTGGCGCAGTGGTTGAGAGTCCGCCTGCCGATGCAGGGGACACGGGTTCGTGTCCCGGTCCGGGAAGATCCCACATGCCGCGGAGCGGCTGGGCCCGTGAGCCATGGCCACTGAGCTGGTGCTCCGCAACGGGAGAGGCCACAACAGTGAGAGGCCCGTGTACCGCAAAAAAA